AGTCGTCTGGCTGACCCACATGTAGCAGAGTCATTAGATTTTACATTGTACCATCAAAGAGATATCTGTGTCTTCATATTTCTACCTAAGTGTCAAAACCAAGATCCAACCCCGGTGTCCATGAAAGTGGGTTTTACGTTGTTAGAGGGTGGGTGTAGGCGCTTTGGGTGTTAGGGGAGGAGTTGGAAGATTACTTCCGGGCCCCAGGTGCTCTGCGCAGCGGGGGACCTGGCTCTTCCCCTTCACGTGTTGGAGGGCACCTTACCTGGGGCAGTCCGTGAAATCTCAGGGAACGGATCCTCATAGGCCGGGAGCAAACACATGGAACGGAGGTTGGCTGTGGGCCAGTCCTTTAAAAGGGCAAGTCCCCTGGGGACTTAAGTCACAATCCACCTCAGACCTGTCGTGCGATTGAGATGACTAGATTCTGAGGCTGAGAGAGGAGGGACGGGTGGGACTACTCCTTAGCATGCTTGCTTGGACAGGTCGCCTTGGATATTACCTTTGGCAGCATTCCAGAGAGGAGAGTCTCCCACCCAAACTTTTTTTGGCGTAAGTTTCCATTAAGTTCTACAGCTCAGCAACATTCCTGTTTTTAAACAGTATACATGTCTGTCTAGAAATATTCTGAGAATGTTTGCTTTTACTTGAACATTCAGATCTCTAATGTAGATAAGAGGCTAGGGTTGAAGCAGATACCTGTAGAGGAAGTTATAGGAAAAGAATCTACAAGCACCTCAGAGTCCTGCCAGGGCGCTCCTTGGGCTGGTGCGAGAAGCAAGGGACAGAAGTGATGGCAGGCGGAACCACAAGGGGAGACACTTGTTCGGAAGGCGTTAGGGTACCGAGCAAAGAAAGTGAAGGTCTGTTAACATTACAAGTTTGGGAGACAGAACTTATGAAGCCCCTCAGGACCTCCTGCACTAATTCAAAATACTCTAAAATGCAAGAGGTTGGTGGCATTTGAAAACCAAAGAATAACTTCAGTCCTGTGGTGAATTCCACCCATACAGGGTTTCATGTCTGGGGAAGGAGAGAGAGTTGGAAAGCTTTCTCCAGCCCTCTTGCATGTTCTGATCTCTTGCAAAAAAGCCCTGGTAGGGGAATCAGAAAGAAGCAAGGCAGTAGCTGGCAGTTTTAAACAGCATTGCACCCCGTGGAGAACCATTGTTGAGGAAGAGAAGACGCAATTCCAGGCGATGCCTGCACACCTCAGTCCTCTCTGTCTCCCAACTACATGATTTCTATAAAGTCAAATGTGTGACAATTTTATTAACTCTTTGATGTCTGGGCTTCCCCATCCCAATATGAAGTCAATGCTACTGATGGTTTCTTTTACTCTCTTCAGGTTTCCGTTTTTACATTGAAATCTTTCATTTGCTTTGGTGTAAGATAGGCATCTAGGTTTTTTCCTCCCTTCAGATAGTTAGCAGCTAGCAAGCTGTGCCAACATCATGTATTGCATGAGTTGATCTTTCCCCCACCGATTTGATTGCCCACCTTCAAAATCTCACTTTCAAATAGGCAGCACTCTCAGATGGCGCAGCTGGCCACGCCACAGCCGCTGTGGATGGGGCTCTCTGTGCTCTTGGCAGATTCCCATCCTGGCCTCCTGCATAGTGGCCTTCTGGCCTGCCAGTGGCTTGGTGTCAGTGGCATGGCTGTCTTTTTCTGTGCAGCTGATTTGTAGTTATTTAAGTGCTCTGTTTTATTTTGTTCGTGTTTGACAAGTAATGGAAAGGGGAGAAAATCAAGTTGGTACTTGGCAGCACAAAACAGACCTTCTAAGCACAATGCGAGATAGAAATCATTTAGGTCTCAAAAAAGGTGACAAGCCTTTCTCCTCAGCCAGATGTGTAGTGGGCTCAAGCTGGTGGCCAAGGGTATGAATGTGAAGGAGAAAAGCCAAATTAATTGAACACAGATGCGACCGTCGAAATAAATTATTCAAGATTACCTAACTAGGAGAGGGAATCTCTGGCTTGAAATGGTGCTTCTCAAAATTGTACAGATGATCAAAACCCTCCCCAGGCTAAACTGGGCCAGGGACACGCCCGCTGGGGTGCCCCATCGAACCGCCCTTCTCGCTCGCGCTGCGCTCCGGTGAGTTACCTCTGTGTGTCCCAAGTGAGCCCGTCGTCACAGCCCATCCTCACGCTAAAAACAACGCAAAAGGAGAAAAACACTCAGTTATCCTTCAGTCCCGTTCCACAAGTGAATAACAGGCTCTCCCCTCTCAACACCCATGTGCAAACCATCACCAAGTCCTACTGACTTGAGGTGCTGAAGGACCTCCTGAAGTCATCACCCCGCTACCCGGTCCAGGAGACCTCCCTTGTGCCTGAACCAGGCTGGAACCTCGTAATTAGTCTCTCCACATTCACACTCAACTTCTATCCAGTTCATCCTCCAGAATAACCTACAGCCAGAATAATCTGCAAAAATGTAAATCTGATCAGGGCGGCACCCCTCTGATTAAAACCCTGCAGCGTCACCCCTTTGTTCTCACGGTGGCCAGTCTTCAGTATGGCCCAGCGTAACTGGCATTGTGATGTCCTCACACTGGCCCGCCTCCAGACTGCTCTCCCCGTTCGCTCCTTCCCACCTGGGAAGTGCCCAGCGTGCCCGTCCGTCCCAGGGTTCACTCCCCGGCCTTTAGATTGCAGGGGAGCCTGTCCCGCCCCCGTCTATGCCCTCCTGATGCTGTGCGACACACGCCTCCTTCCTTTGCAGGACTTGCCACAGTTTGCGGCCACGCACGGAGTTACTTCCCTCCCTAGGCTGAAGCCCCATGTATGCCAGGACCACGTCCGTTTTTGCTCATTCTATTCCTAGTGACTGTCACAGAGGAGGTTCTCAGTAAATATGTGTTCAGTGTGCCTCTTGTTTGCCCTGCTGGCAACCTAACCTGACAAACGGGGAATTCTTTATATTTTAGGATAGATGCTATTGGTCCATAATAGTTTTTATTTTGTATTTTCATTTATAGCTTTAATGTGCCCATGATATTAATAAAATATTGTCTTTTGCCTTGAGAATGGTCTTTTCATTTGTCTCACTTGAGACCTGAATTTGCAGAATTGCATGGGCTACAGATCTTAGAAACGATCGGATGTGTTGGTGTACCTTTTCTATATTATTATACGGCCTATAGCATTGCATGCATAGATGGTGCTCAATCTATGTTTGTTTTGTTTGTTATATATTATTTTAATATGGAAAGCACATAACCACAACTTATAGTTTTTGGAGGAAAGGAAAAAAAATCACCTATAGTGCTACCACTCAAACTCAACCACTATTGGTCCTTTTATGTGCATTTTTAACATTGCCATAATCACAGCATACATAAAATTTTGTGTCCTGCTTTTATTCCCCTATGTAACCTTAATGTTGATTGGTCGTTATATTGTGTATGAGCCTAATTTATTCAATTCAGTAAGCATTTTTGAAGAACTACACCGTACTAGGCACACCCTTCTATGTGCCTAGTACCATCATACTGTATAATAATAGAATACCAGAATTCCAAAGCTTTTAGTGACATTTTTACTTTGCAGACATATATTAGTTTTATGACACCTCCTTTTCATCTCAGAGTGAGGAATATGCAAGACTTTTCTTCATTTGTTCAATAGCTTCTTTCTTTATTCAACAAATTTATTCGGGCTCACCACATGCCGAGCGCGATTCTGTGTACTGGAGATACAGTAGTGAGTCCAACAAGGTGTCTCCATCCTAGTGAGAGAAGACAGACAATGAATGAATGAATGAGTGAGTGAGCGAGTGAATGAATGAATGAGTTGATAAGTAGAAAAGAAAACAAGGTGAGGGGGATGAAAATGGCATGGGGGAGGGGCTGCTCCTTCACAAGGTCAGGGAAGGCTCTCTGGTGGTGACATTTGAGCGGAGACCTAAATAGAGTGGAGGGAGCTGTGCAGCTGTCAGGGGGTCTTTTCCTGGCAGAGAATCAGCAGGTTCAAAGGCCCTGAGGTGAGTGCTTGATGTTTGCTAGGAAAGGCAAGGAGCCAACGAGGGAAGGGGGTGAACAGGAGCTGAGGTCAGCAAGCTGGGAGCGGATCTCTTAGAAGGTTCGGAGCATCTTACAGGCTGTCGTGAGGCCTCTGGCTTTTTCTCCTCTGTGAGATGGGAGGCAGTGGAATAGTGACGTGGCCCGACTTGGATGTCAGTAGGATGGCGTCATTCACCAGCTTTCCCTGTTCCTTTGGTGAGGCCTGTCAGCTCCGGCCTTTGTCACCTTCTGGATGAGTCGCTTTATACCAGAACCTGTAAACTTCCTTTCAGACACGCGTCCTGTAGTCACAATGTAAAGAGCGCGTTCCTTATGCCTAAGTGTGCAGGTAGATAAGCAGCCACACCCTTGGTGTCACAGATTTGGGCTTGGTAAATCACTGTTCCAAGGAATTTGGTGCATTCCCCATATTTGAAAAAATTTATAACTCTGAATTTCTCACTTATTTATCTTTTGTTCATTTGAGGCAATTTTTCCTTTCTGAAAATAATGACCAAATAAAGTTTTTAGGTTGTATGAAAATGTGTCCCATTAAGGCTTACCATCAGTTTTGTAATTCTAAAGTGTGCAACCTCTGCTATTCTAGAAATCAGATTTTGGGTTTGTTTTTTTTTCTTTTGGAGTGGGAGGTTAGTTGACATAATTACAGTCTTCCTTGAGTTGCTTTATGGTTAGACCTGTCACATGCCAAAGTTAGATCCCGTTAGTTGGCTTAAAACATTTATTTCTGGCCCCAGCGGGTGTGGCTCAGTGAATTGGATGCCGACCTATGAACTGAAAGGTTCAATTCTCTGATGGGATCGACGTGTCTCTTGCACATCTAGGTTACTCTCCCTCTTTGCCCTCCCTTCCCCTGTCTCTAAAAATAAATAAATAAATCTTTAAAAACACCACTTATTTCTGAAAGAACAAACTGTTACAGGTTGCTTAAGGTAATTGATTTCTTTTTGTTTTCTTTCTGTTCCAGGAGGAGACATCACAGCTTTCCCAGATTGGGAGGAAAAATATGGAATGTGTTTTACCGCTGACTGAACACAACCAAATGAACTGTACTGACAGTAGTTTGAAAACCAGCAGTTAGCAGTTTGTTCAGGCTCTAACATTGTCCAGCACTTTCCAGAGCAAACTCACTGTTTACAAGAACTCTCAGCCTTACGACGTTTATAACCTCAAGCTTCGTTTATTGAAAATATTTCTGCAAAAGAAAAGTACCCAGAGCCCACTTTCCAAAATGGCCATGAATGAATATTTGTGGATGGTCATTTTAGGTTTTATCATAGCTTTTATTTTGGCATTTTCTGTTGGTGCAAATGATGTTGCCAATTCATTTGGCACTGCTGTGGGCTCCGGCGTGGTGACCTTGAGGCAGGCGTGCATTTTGGCTTCAATATTTGAAACCACAGGCTCGGTGTTACTGGGAGCCAAAGTAGGGGAGACCATTCGTAAAGGTATCATCGATGTGAACCTATACAACGAGACAGTAGAAACACTAATGGCCGGGGAAGTTAGCGCAATGGTCGGTAAGTAGCGTTACTCTTTATACCTGTGGGAAGTGTGTTCACTGGCCCTCTTCCCTGTAATGCTTTTGTCATATCCATAAATGTGATTTGTGCTTTAGCTTTGTAAAAATTGGGTGTGAGGTTTTATATTTACTGTACCTTATTTTTGCTCTCTCTGTCTTAAGTTGATTGTTATTCTGAGTGTTCAAATATCAAGCAAACACATTTTCCCAAATTTTTAGCAAACTTGGTTAAAATAGATTTCAGCTGAGTACTTTTCATAAAGTGCAGAAGGATATTTGAAGGGCAGCTCTTTGTCGTTTTAAAGTTGTTTGAAAGTTATTAGAAAAATAGCATGTCTAAGAAAATGTGTTTGAAAGATCTGCTTAAGAGATTTCCCTTAAGGTTTATTTCCATTTTTTCATAGGCTTTTAAAAATCAGTTAGGACACAATGTTTTGAAAACTTGGATGCCAATAAAACAATATTTATTCATTTAACTCGTAGTCCCAGTTTAAGTGTTTGTGTTTCAAGGAATTCTGGTCTTCTACATTGTTTGTGATTCTTTTGTTGGTTTTTGTTTTGATTTTCTGATTCTACCTCTGGGAGCTCCATTTAGTATGTTTGTTTCGCTTTCCGGTCAACAGATCATTTGTATGTCACCTGTTTATAGTACGACCTTCACTGGGGCTTTCGGATTGTCAGATGAAAGAGGAGCGCTGAAGGCAGTGAAGTATGTTAATAGGAGACAGACTGGTCCGCCGGTGTGCTCCCTCCGTTGCCCAAGGTGACCGCAGGCTTGAAGCGCTGTGGGGCCCGGCCCTCACTGCCTCGCTACAGCTGGAAAGAGTGTCCAGGCAGAGACGCCTGGAGAGCAGCTCACAGGACTCTTTACTCTGCTTGCCTCTAGGTAGAGATGATGTCACAGCAGACAGCTGATCAGTACGGGTAATTTGGTTAGGGAGCAGAGGGTTCGAGAGGGATTCTACTGCCTTCTGCTTTCAGCAGGACATATCCTTTTGTAGGAAGAGTCCTGCAGTAGGAAGTAAGATGCTGGTGTACCAAGAACACAGCTACATTCCACAGGTTCCTAGTGACTTATTGCCACTGGCATTATTTAAACGCCCAGGATGTGGAAATTATTTGCCAAATTGAAGATGACCCATCATCTTTTTATTACAGCAAGTTAGTCTGAGGACTTGTTGAAGCATTTGACCCAAAGCAGACCAGTGTTCTAAGGTATTAAATACTGCTAAGCATAGTAGGCTGGTTAACACATGCTAAGGAGTTCCTGTGTCTCCACTGAACATTTTGTGTGTTAAAGATGAAAGGTTCACAGTTGCTTTAATTCCAGCAGCTATTGTAATGATTGAATTTTACTCAACATCAGTGAACATATATTTTTACTCTAGTCAGATGTAATGGAAAATTCTCATGGAAAAAATAACAGTTACTTGTAAAATTCACCCTTGTATAGCTCTGATAGATACCCAAGACATAATCATATTGACCTGAAATTAAGATTTCTCAGTCAGGATGATGTGGGCAAGATATGTTGAAGGTAGGGGAGAAATAAAGAAAAACACGGATAAAATTAAATAGTAACAGAAGGTTCTCCTTTCAGCTGGGTGCACCTTGAGGCACGGTGGCGCTTATGGAAGAGATTTGTGAGTGAGGCCGCCCTGAGGCCCTCAGTTGGACAGAAAGTCCTGTGAGCTGAGCTTATATCACTGCTGACTTTTTGTGCGGACAGTTTTCCCACCCCTGCCTCTGGCTCTGTGCTAAAAGAATGAAGGAGACTTACCGCAACTAGAATTTAGGTTAACCAAAGCAATTTGAGGTTTTGCTTGAATAACTTGATTTTGTTTGCTTTGGTTTCTTTCTTCTTCTCCTCCTTCTGCTCCTCCTTCCCCTTTTTGTGCGTGTATGTGTGAGTGTGTGTGGTTAGATGACTCTCAAAGCCTGTTTTGTTGGAAGTTTATATGGGTTACCTAGATTTTCAAAATTGGGTTCCTCGCAAATGGGAACTATGTAAATTTAAGATGGTGGTATAATTATTATTGGCCAAAATCAAAACTGATTCTGTTCAGATGTCTGAATTCTCCCAATCTTTCTCTTCTAAATTCTACATCTGTACCTTTTCTCCCTCTCCTCCTGCTGTCCTTTTATTCTATTTTATTTTATTTTTTCTCTTTTTTCTTAAGAAACTTCTCCCCAAGCCCATGGGTCTATGCTTTCTCTTAGAGTTGCGGTGGTGTCGGTTGGTTGGGTGGAAGGTATTGTTCGTGCCCGCTAAACTTCTTGAACAAGTTCTCATTTGGGACTCTAGCTTAGCCCTAAAGCAATAGTCAGTCCACTTAGTATGAAACCATCAATGGTTCCAAAAATCTACTGGGAATTCTGAAGTCATCATTTTCCCATGGAAATACCCACAATGGCATGAAGAAGCCATCTCCTTGGACCACACTGAGCCGTGCATAGTCCCCTGAAAGCGCCCTCTCTGCCCACGACTGTGAGCTTCCCCCCTGCCCTGCACGCACCCCCCGCCCCCCGCCTGCCTGCCTTCATGGTAACCCTGAACCTTCCTCTGCCCTTCTTTCGTCTTCCCAGGAACCTCCTGCCTCAGAGGTGTCCGTTTCCCCCAACTTTCCCTAGGTTTTGGCGTATACCCTTATCCTGTACTTCACCCCTTTCTTTTTAGTAGCCGATGATGATTTGAGGTTAAAACATAGTTCTTTTCCCCACTGCTTTTCTTCACGTGAATGTAATCCCATTTGCCTTCAGAAATTCCTGAGGCTAAGGTGGGCTCTCACCCTCTCTCATTTTGCCAGGTCCCTGCAAACACCTGCCGGCTTTTCCCTCTCCTTTCATCCGCGCCTTCACTCCGCCCCACGGGCGCTCTTCCTTTCCCCCTTCCCGCTCTCCGGCAGCCCCCATCCTCCCTACCTTTCCTCACAAACCCAGCTGTCCGGGACACAGGTTATAAAGTCAGCCAGGGGGAAAAATGGCAGCTCTCAGGAAGGAAAAATCTCATGGTCTGAATCCATGTGGGTGAGTTTATATCCTTCTCTTCACATCACTAGATTATTTAGATTTCTATAAAAATAGAAATCACCAAGTTTGTTTAAGTTATGGTTCTGTGCCACGAAACACATCCCAAACTCTGGCTTTATTTTTAAAAACAACCATGTAGTCCCTGTGAAGGTCTACGGCATTGTCTGCTGGGAAGGCTGGGTGCTTGGAAGCGCAGGGCTGGCCCCTTCTCCTTCCAGCACACGCTTCAGGTTTAGCCCCGGGGTCACAGCCCACTGCAGCTCAAAGGTCAAAATGCCCAGTGCTCATGGAGCAGCTGTCAGCATTGCTCACGAACCAGGACCTGCACAGCCTTTAATGATCCTCTGTAACTCAGATATTTTTGAAGAAAATGCCAAGGGACTGCTTGAAAGTTCTGTTGCTGCCAAGCAACCAGATTTCCAGAGTTAACATTTGGGATTAATAACTGGCCCTGCTTATCGGCCAAACCTTTTGTTCTCTATATGAACTTTTCAACAACTGTGTCTGAAAGTGATCTCTTCCATCTGATGCTTTTAATACTTGCTGCAAAATTTGATCTGCTTATGAGAATATCTGAACAGAGTGAACTATGGCCTAGAAAAACATTAAGCCTGGAAAAGAATGGTGAAATCGAGGTAAAAGGACACAAAGCCACAGCTAAGGGATCCTCTTAACTCCTAAGAATAAGGATGTTTGAGAGAACCAACAAGGAAAAGCGCCATCATTCTGGACAGGGGCTGAGAGCAGATGACCATCTTTGGGCTAAATGTCATAGTTCCTTCTCATGTGAGAGGCAACAGTCAGACAGCAACGTGGTGTTAAATTACTCTCTTTTGTGCAGACTAATAGGACGCAGCCGATATTTAGGCCTTGTTATGTGACTATAAGGCATAATTGCAATGAAATCTTTTCCAGTATGCCGCCTTTGTTGTTTCTCTGTGTTTATTCGAGTCCTTAATTTCTTGCTTGATCTTGGCCACGTTTCACATCAGAAGTTCATTATCAGCTCTCTTAACTAAAGGTGACAAAGGCAGTTAATAACTGGCATCAGGAGACTTTTCTTAAATAGTTTTCTTTAAATAAATCATCATTATGTCAAAGGCTTTTTCTTTGGCTAAAGTTAATTGAGTAATTTTGTCAGGACGTTATTAGCACTTTGTAAAGAAAACACCCACAGAGAATTAACTTCACGGAGTGTTGTTATGGAGAATAGCAATTTGTGCTTCTTCCTTTTGTGGCTGTTTGAGATGCTGTGCTCTATACCTGACTTTTCTTTTCTTCTTCTTTTTTTTAACCTTTAATCCTCTAGGTTCAGCTGTTTGGCAGCTGATTGCATCCTTCCTGAGACTTCCGATCTCAGGAACTCATTGCATCGTTGGTGCGACTATAGGATTCTCACTTGTTGCAATTGGCACAAAAGGTGTGCAATGGATGGAGCTTGTCAAGATTGGTAATTGCCGTTTTCTTTTACCTTTCTTTTTTTGGAGAAGGAAAGTTTACATTCTCTAGAGTTAGTTTTATTAAAAGTTACCATTATATTGTTTTCCTTCAAATGTTAAGGCTTAGAAGACCTATTTAGGTAACATGTTTCTCCTTAAAATTTCTAACAGGGATTGTTAACAGGGTTAACAGGCACTATTATGTGTTAGAGAATTTTTTACCTCCAAGCACTCTTTTCAAATGTTACGTTGTCATCCAGCTTTCGAAAATCAATGTTTATTTGTTGTTCCCAGACTGAAAAGAAGTTCACCTCATTGAAATCAGTCTGTAATCAGGAAAACTAGGCCCTAATGAGGAAAATGCCTTTGGTGTCTAGGAGCCCGAGTTCGTGGTCATGGGAAAGCCTCGAAGTGGGCCCAGTGTTATTTACCTCACTGCAGTCAAGAGAGTGCCCAGCGTGCCCCACACAGAAAAGGCACCCTCATGTTCCCTCTGGGTTGTCTCCTGCCCAAGAGGGACTATTTTAAGAGGTCTGGCAACTTGCTTTCTGGCCCTGGCCTTTAGTAAGAGGGAACTCCATTCAGCAGCCCCCTAAGTACCAACCCGCCCATTGTGAAAAACGCTCCCTCGCCCCATCTCCATCCTGTGGGTTGCTCGTCCCTTTAAGAATCAGAGTGGCCTCAGAGGCCGTAGGTCCAGTCAATCCGTGGCCTGCCAAATGGAGGCGCAGATGGCTCAGAAAGTCGCTTTAGAGCCTAGGTCTTAAGAACCTTGGTTCTCAACCCTGTCTGCACATTAGAATTACCTGGGAAAGCAGTTTAAAAATACCAATGCCCAGCACCCATTCCAGACCTTTCAAATCAGAATTCTGGGGGTGGGATTGGAGAATAACCAGTTTTTGGAAACTCCCCAGATGTTTCCAATGTGTAACCAGAGGTGGGAACTCCTAGGCTAGTGGCTAAAGGTGTCAGGATGACAGTACCAGGCTGGGTTTGGCAAGTGAAATGGAAGGGGGCCCACCTTTGCCATCACCCTCATGTTGGAACAAGGACCGGGTCTCCATATGGACTGATAGGAAGAGCAGGGAGGGGGGCTCAGTGGGGGGTCAGGCCCCGCCCCTGCGTCCAGAGCGCGGGGAGCGCCTCCTTGGCTGGCTCTGTGCCGGGAGTGGGCTGGGTTCTGGGGGGCTGCGTGCGAGCGTCTGAGGACAGTGCACGTGCTGAAGGCCAGCTCTGCGCGGGCGGCAGGGCTCATTAGGTCTGAGTTAGGAGGAATAACTCCAGGAATCTTTATTACCGTATGTGCTGTATATTTGTTACAATTGTGTTATAGAAATGTGACCTGAATTTTGTAGCATTTTAACATTCATTATACCTTTCTTTAAATTATTCAGTTGCTTCTTGGTTTATATCTCCACTGTTGTCTGGTTTCATGTCTGGCATGCTGTTTGTACTGATCAGAATTTTCATCTTAAAAAAGGTAAGTGAGGCTGTTTTGTTAAAAATTAAGTTTTGGAACTAATTTTGGTTCTATTCGATAGAAATTAATCAGGAGAGAGGTTAGAGGAATAATCATATTTTTACATTTTTAAGGCACAGCACCCTGGAGTTAGAATCAGATTTTGCTTTTAAGTAGGAGGAAAGATTCAAGGTAAAGCACCCAAGGTACCCTCTGGGACCCAGCATTGTAAATGCCGTCTCTTGCCCTATGATTGAATTAATTAGTCGACACTCCCAGGCATTGTGATTGGACCTCAAAAGGGAAAGGTAATTATTTCCTAGCTGTTAATTAGATTTTGAAACTGTTACTAAAAACAGCTGGAGAATTCCTTTACCCAAAAGTAGTGTTTTTCCTTTTCCTTTTTCCTTCCTGCTCTTGCTTTTGTTCTTTGTCCCTCCCTCCCTCCCTTCCTTTTAATGGAGAAAGCAAGCTTGAAACACTGACTTTTTCCTACCCTTAAAAACATAAAAAGAAAGAAATATACCTATTAGGGGTATAGTTTATCAAAAATAAAATGAGACTAAAATGAAAACTTATTGAGATGAGTATTCTAGGAAAAAAATTGATTGTATTTTTTTGACTGTCAAGGGGTTGTTGCAGTATTTTATAAGCCAGAACGCAGGCCGGGGTCATTGTGTTACAGCACGTGCTGAGCCCTCCCTTCAGCTGTATCCTTACTTAAAGACGCAGCTGTGTTTTCTTAGCATCGCCTAGTAGTCCATTGAAAGACTCGTTCTCTCAGATAAGTACAGACTTACCATTCCCTCTCCTGGGCTCCTGCCATACTACTAATATTTGTTTACATGTTGGAAGGTGTCAGCCCCTCTTGCCTGTTATCCTTCACCCTTTTTATTTCCTCTGTCTGGAACGCATTTTGTCCTGGCAAACTCCTGCTCCTCTTCAGCCTCCAGGTGTCGCTTCCCAGGAAGCCTTTCCTCCCCCACCCCAGGTTCTGGCTGGTTCTTCTGTACCGATAGCACTGTGTCCCTTCTCATCATTGTACTCGCATGCTGTACTGTGTTTCTTGCTTAGTGGTCTGTTTGCTATTTTACTATAAGATAAGTAGCAGTGAGAATAGAAACAATCACTGTCTTACTTTTTATTTCAGTGCCTGGCACCGCGCTTAGCACTTCAAAGACACTGATGGAATGTTAAGAGGGAATGGTGGATAGTTGGGAAGGTGGCAGGGGATGGAAGGAGGGAGGGAGGGAGGGAGGGAAGGAAAGAAGGAAGGATGAGGGAGTTGGAGGGAGGAAGGGAGGGAGGAAGGGAGGGAGGAAGGAAGGAGGAGAGGAAGGAAGGAGGAGAGGAAGGAAGGAGGAGAGGAGACAGATCCCAATGAGGCAGTTGTCTCTGAGTTGTAAGAATAGGTTATTTGAGAAAACATAAGGTGATTTGATTAAAAACATAAACTCAGGGCTTATACACCTTCAGAAGTTACTGGTTGGGAGTCTGTCTGTAGCAACCATCGTCCCGAAGGAAAAAACATTTTGAAAGCCGGAGGCAGTAGGCACTCGGGCACCCCACTGTTTTGTTTTCGGTTCGGCCAGGCTTCTGTTCCCATGGAACATGGTAGGCTAGGAGGCTGCTGTGCCCCTCGTCCCAGCTCCTTCCCACTGGCTCTTCATGTTTGCTCTTCTTCACCTCCCCTTCCTGATCTGGGGGTGGCTGCCATACTGTTGAATCACTTCCTGCCGCTGCTCCTACTGTTCCTTACACCTCACTACTACTGATCAACTCAAGCTTCTTGACAAGTGCTGCTGGCTGCTTGAGGCATCCCACAATAGGTTCTTGAGGAGTGATGCCCCTGCAACACACCTGATTTCCGAACATGTTTGCACTCGGCAGCAGAAATCTTTGAGATAGTCTCTCCGTATCCTTACTCCTGTAGCTCATATCGTGTTTAAATCTGGTTTTCCTTTTATCATGGGAGGGTAGCAGACGCATATAAATGTATGAATGTTTTACATCGTTATTAGAAACATCATTTTTTGAATTATGTAGGCAACATCTATGGGCCAATGCTGCATTGTGGAGTTCTCAGTCCGTATTTTTGTTTCAAAATCCTCACAGGTCTGCTTAAAAACTCTTAAGTTTCTAATATTCTCTTAGATATTATTCAGCCTAAAATGTATGCAGTACCTTTCTTGTTGAAGTAGTAGGGGATGTTGTACTAGAACGCTAAAGTTGTAAATAAATGTTTTATTAGATGAAGAACCCACCATTTTTAAACTTTTAATAATTGAAGCTTAAATACGGTACCTTATGAGAAGTTTTTAAAAATCGTAACACTTGGTATTATGTTCGCTTTTTATATGTTGATAGAGCTAAAATATCTTGTGTTAATAGAGTGACTTAAAACCTACAGGCATGCAGTGGTGTTCAAGTCATTCGACTCTCTTCGGGCATCCTCAGAGGGTTATGTCTCATAACAATTTGTCGAAAGTAGATTGTCCAGGACCAAACCCAAACTTAGCTAGAGGAGAGAATGCCACAGGTTTTGAGGTAGATGCCAGTCTCTAGGCTTCAGCTCTTAGGAGCTGACCTAGCAGTTATTCTCTGTTTCTAGAACTCACATGAGCTCATGTGATTCCAGTGCTTTAAAGTGTCTGCTGGGCATAATAGTGGGCTCTTTGAAATGGCATTTGTGTAGGAGGTGGCCTGAGCCGATGGCTGTTTTTGTGAAGCAGATCACATGGCAGTGACACGGTCAGCTGTTTTGGCCACGTCGGTGTTTGGGGAGACCTTATTGTAACAGTGTTTTATATCGTGTTGCCCGCTTTGGCCCCAGATCCTTCTTGAATCTTGACTTTCTGCTTTATCTCCTTATTGCGCAGGAGGACCCTGTTCCCAATGGCCTGCGGGCACTCCCAGTGTTCTATGCGGCTACAATAGCGATAAATGTCTTTTCCATCATGTACACAGGAGCACCAGGTAAGAGTTCCTTGGGTGCTTGCATCCAGCAGACCGGGTGCATTACCCTCTGACGGTTTGGCTTACTGGGTGCTGGCCCTGTTGTGTCCTAACAGTGTAAAGCATTACTTGTGGTCATTGTGGAGTCGTTAAAAGAGTAGTAAACACATTTGCTAGTTTTCAGTATTCAAGAGATATGTGAAGTACAAAGGCAACAGACTTTCAGGTTTAAAAAAAGAAAATTGAAATTCCCCTTCTGCCATCTACCCAGCTGTGTTACCTTAGTGGCTTCCTTGCGCCTTCTGAGTCTGGGGACGTGATCTGACTTCTCGGGCCTCCCTGAGCTGGGCGTGCGGGTGGGGAGCACTTGTGAACAGGATAGTCCACCCATCCACACATCGGGGACGTTCCGGGGGGCACTCTGACGTGCTGAGCACAAACGCCAAACTCTCTGGAAACTGTCAGACCAATGAATCCAGCAACTAGGGCTACACATTTTCTGTTTTGGTTTTTTTTTCAGATACTAAAACCAAAGGCAATTTTCTTCCTAGAATTACTTCTCTTCTGATCCTGCTGGCTTTTGTTCTCTTTTACAGGGGTTTGGGGCTTGGAGAGGGAGAGCAGGATTAAAAGTTCTGTCCTTTTCCATTTTTAAGGGGTAAAGAAAAATTTATGTGCACTATTCTTATTTGCACATGTTTCATTGTTGATGAACTGGTGGTAGCGTTCTAATTCAGTATTTCTGGGCGTGTTTTGATCGAGAGGATTTTTCCTGTCTCTGTGAGGTGCCCCTCCTACAGGCGGATCCTGAACATGCCCACTATTGTGGGGAGGTCTGGAGCCAGCATGTATGTTTGTCTGTGTTGTTTCTCCTCATGTTAATGCCCTTTGTGGGTTCCATTTTAGTTATTGGCCATATGTGACAAAAATCTCCCTCTCTGATCAAAAGATAAAATTTCTCTAAATTGACATGTTGTTTTATAGTAGAAAAATGCTCTCTTCCAAAGTAGGGGGAAATCCTTATGAATTTCTCAAACTAGGCTTTCTTAAGGTAGTATTACTCAAATTTAAATAGCCATAGGCAATTATATGCTGTGCACGTTGGTACTGTAAATAAAAAGCTTGCTGAATGATTCTTAACATCACATGGCTACTTTGGCATTTGTGCAGCATTCAAAACATTGACCTTGGCCCATAGACATATGAAAAAATGCTCAGCATCCCTAGCCATCAGAGAGATGCAAAGCAAAACCACAATGAGATAACACCTCACACCTGTCAGAATGGCCATCATAAACAGATCAACAAACAAGTGCTGGTGAGAATATGGAGAAAAGGGAACCCTAGTGCACTGTTAACGGGAATGCAGACTGGTGCAGCCACTGTGGAAAATGATATGGAATTTCCTCAAAAAATTGAAAATTGAACTTTCCTTTGACCCAGAAATTACACTACAGGGATTACACCCTAAGAATCCTGAAACACCAATTCAAAAGAACTTACGTACCCCGATGCTCACAGCAGCGCTATTTACTACCTGAGTGCCTATCAGTAGATGAGTGGATAAAAAAGCTGTGGCACATTTACACAATGGAATACTATACAACAGTGAAAAAGAAGGACTTCTTACCTTTTGCAACAGCAAGGAGGAACTGGAGACTATTAGGCTAAGTGAAATAAGCCAGTCAGTGAAAGACAAATACCATATGATCTCACTTATAAGCGGAATCTAACCAACAAAATAAACTAATGCGCAAAATAGAACCAGAGGCATTGAAAAATGGATGAGACTGACAGCTGTAAGAGAGGAGGGGAGAGAGGGGAGAGACGAGGACTGATTGAAAGAAGGTGAAGGGATTAGTCAAAGAACATGCATGAATGGCCCATGCACATGGACACCAGTGTGGGGGTTGACAGTAAGCGGGGGAGGCTGGGTGGAGGGGGGCAAAGGGGGGAAAATTGGGACAACTGTGATGGCATAAGCAATAAAATGTTTAAAGTAAAATAAAAAAACAAAACATTGATCTTAAAGGTTCGAGCAATTGTGATCAGAACTGCAGCCTGGCCGTGAAGTGTCACAGCTGCTTTAAGTTAGCGAACAGCCTGCGCTGAAGGCCATGGTGATTGGAGAGGGGAAACTCTAGCCTCAGATAACAGTGGCCTGATGGCCCTTCGGGTTTGTGACTCATGGGCTATGGAGTGTGTCTGTCACAGAGAGTTTCCACGATCTGTGAAAGAGACTCAGAGGCAGAGGAGAAGCACTGTGTTGGGCAGGCCCTGGAGCCCCAGTGGGGAGTGAATGTGGCAGAGGGATTCTCTGTCCACCCTCTGCTTGCTCATGGGCCCTCGTTCCTCACTTTGCTCAGGCTCGTAGAGCTCAGGTTAGCCGCAGCAGGGGCCCAGCCGCTGCCGGTAGCCGGGCACCTGTGGCTTAGTGGTTGACGACACTCAACCGGGTGGCTCGGGGGGCCGTGGTAGGGCCGAGTCTTGGGAATGGGCATTGGTACAAATAAGGACAATTTACTTTTTGTTTCTGTATTTTTTCCCTACCCTCTCTTCCTTTTGCTCACGAGTTCCTCCAAATGTCAGAAGTAGTCAACTGTGTGATTTTTTAAAATTAAAATTTGATGTTTTCTATTCTTGCTATATTTTTTCCATCTCTTCTTTTTGTTTGCCTCATCTTCTGCTGCACTTTACTGCAAATTGGCTAAAAGAATCGTCTTACTGGGGGAGTAAATTATTCTAGAGAAAGTGAAACTCTATAATGGATGAAACACGAAGGATTATATAAATATTTCATTGACAGGTTATGAGAAATATGTAATAAAAATGCTAACTTTTATTGAGCTGAGTTTTACATGAATCAATCCTTTTAGTCCTTTAGGAAATTGGTAATATTGCTTTGCCAGCTCCATTTTACAGATGGGAAACTGAGGCACAGCAATACCGGGTACCCAAGGTCATATAAATAGTAAGGTGCAGAACCAAAATTCGAAGCAGACAGTCTAGCCCCGAGCCACAGGCTCTTAATTATGACATTAATCAACCAAGACAGAAGAGTCATGCTTGACTTCTGACTTTCAAAAGTGGCATGGGTAAGATACCCGGTGTGTTAGTACCTGGTACCTGGGGTCACCATTAATGACAGTCAACACACATCAGCCCTAATACAGTCTTCTGTCCTCATCACTCTTTAAAAATGGCTTCCAGTATATTTGGAAACCTGGCTGTATGTTTTTGCATATATTTAATATACCCCTAGTATGAATAGAGTAGTTACCTCTTTAATTAGAAATAACTAAATCTGTTCAAGAATCTTGAAACCCCTTGTCCTACTGAAAGCACAGACTGTATTCTCAGTGCAGAGTTAAGGTTGAATACTTGGGTTTGGTGGCTGTGCTGTCGAGAACATTGGATTTCCTCACCTCTCCGATGTCATCACAAAGTAAGGACAGCTGTAGGACCTCCATGAAAGGGACGCTGTGCTCCATGAGATCATTGGGCAGGACACTTACTACAGCGCCTGGCACATAATAACTCTTAACACATGTTAGGGGCTGTTTTATTACCGTCAGTCCTAAGAAGCCTTATCTTTTTGGCCTTAAGTCGCCAACATATTCTGAGTCATCCTATCTTTCTATTTTTTCCACACTTTTGGTATAAAACAGTTCTTTGTTGAGCTTTTATGTGGCGGGGGGACTTGCCTACAGGAGAAGGAAGAGAAAGGACACGGCTGAAGTGCTCACCATGTTGTTCCTCCACTAAGTCAGAAGAGGATTTTCAAATATTTTGGCTTCTGGTGACTGTTTCTAGAATCTCTCGTAGGCGAGTTTAAATCTTACTTTCATTTAAACATGGAAGGCTGACATTTGCCCTTCAAACGAGACTTTAATTACATACTGTTTCCTTATGTGGGGCCTGTCTGCCCATCCAGCAGAGTCATAAATTAGCTGTGGAGTCATGTTTGGAGATAAGGCTGAGCTGAGAAGAGTCACTTCAACAGTGCTGGTCCTTGCAAAATGAATGCCTCTGCCATCCTGCCAGTCTGCGGTTCATCTTCCCAGGTCCCCTTCTTCCGTAGAATGTTTCAACACATCAGGCCTCAGAGATAAAAGGAAGGAACGAAGCTTTTTAACAGAAATGAGTGACAGTGTTAACATTACCCAGTTTCAACTTTTAAGAGCTTTTGATAAATAGCATTTTTGTGCATGGAGGTGAATTCAGTGGGGATCCACTGGATGTTGAATTACAGTGTTTTATTTTGATTTCTTCTGTTCCTCCACTCTATTTTGAAGTTGTTTATATCTTTGGGTTAGTTTGATTTGTTTTACTTTGCATTTGACGTGACTTTTCTCAAATAAAAGTCAATCTTAAACTTCAAAGACTGAGGTAGCACTTTAAAAATTGTCTTTGCATTTTTTTGGTCCTTTAAAAAATAATTTGCAGGAAGCGAAAATAACTTTACTAAATAAAGTGCTCACTTGGGTTGGATAAAAGCCTGAAGTCTATTTTTAATCAGAAAATCTTCAGTTTTGCAGGCCCTGGTTTTTGTTCAGCGTTTAAAGAATGAATGGTGAAGTTCATTGCATGCCTCACGGGGCAGTCCGAGCAGACCAGCTAACTAAGTCTCCAGTACTTACACGGAACTTCTGAGTCAAAGTGTGGTCTCTAGACCAGCAGCGTCAGCCCCCCATGCCAGCTGGTCAGAACGCGGGTTCGGGGGCCCAGCCCCAGCCCCGCCACAGCCGGGCACTTGGCGTAGTACCAGGGTCTGGGTGGCCCTGACGCCTGGTGCCGCTGGAGGACCGCCGCTCGAGTTGCTTCTTTCCCGTAACCTCTCACCACAAACTCTGCTGCCTGATCGTGGCTCTCACGTGAGAGGTGCTCTTCAAAAGTTCTCACTGGCAACTTCACTCACTCTTTTTCACCAGAAAATGAGTTCTCAAACTTCACCAGGCTTGGTTTCTGGCTTCTTCGGAGCAGACTGCACCTGAGACAGGGCTGACACGCCCCCTGCTCCTCCTCTTCCTCCTCCTCCTCCTCCCCCTTCTTCCAACACCTCTCACTTCGCCTTTTCTCCTCCTCTTCCTTCTCCTCTTCCTCCTCCTCCTCATCCTCTTCCTCCTCCAGTTGTAGCTCTTCTGATCCAGGCCCGAGGAAATTAGAGCATCAGTAACCCCTCGGGCCCCTGCTGGCTTTATAAGGAGGAGCTTTGTCCCCAGAGGACCTCTGTGTTCCGTGTTACCCTGTTCAAGTTTTGAGCTGTAGAGAAAGCAGATGTTTCAATGAGGGCAGTGACTCTGACCCTGGGTCAGGAAGCTCTGGGTGAGAAGAGTCTCCAGTTATCACCGAGGGCTGCATTCAAAGCTGAGCGATTTAAATTCACTTCCTTTCTGGAATTATTCTAAATGAACCCTGGATTGAGAAAGAAAAAAGAAATCCCAGTTATAAGATGATTTAAGATACACAGTTTTTAGTTTCAAAAGAATGCTTCATTTTCCTGAAGAAGTTACTCCAGGATTCCTTCTATGCCTTTAATTCTCTCTAATGCTTTGAACAGGTTAACCTAAAACCAACTAAAAAAAGACTAGTAACTCAGTTTATCATACAAGAGAGGACTAGCAAAATGTGATTCTGTAAGTAAGGTAAGCGTGTGTGTGTTACTGTGGGAAGGTGCCCACAATATATTGTTATGTGAGAAATGAAAGCACAGAACAGTACAGACAGTAAGATTCTACATCTGTTAAGGAAAAAAAAAAAAGAAAGGAAAGAAATTCTGGCAAACACGATCCTGTGTGCTGATTTGTATCTAGATAATGCCTGGAAACATACACGCCGAGTAGTTAACAGTGTTTCCCGGGGAAGTGCGTTCCAGGGGGAGCGCGATGAGAAATGTTCGCATCTGTACATCGTACGATTTTTGTACTGCTGATGTTTTTATAACAAGCATATGTTATAAAATTATACTAAAAAAGAGGAAGAGAAAAGAAGGACAGTTGTAGGGAGAGGCCGGTGAGTGGAGGTATAAGGGAATTAATATGGACTAGAGCCTTATTCGTTGTATAGAAGTTTTACTTATTTTATAGATTCTAATGATGATTGTCGTAGAGGAAGAGCCAGAGGTGTAACAAAGTGATGACTCCGAAGACTGTGCTTGCTTCTGAAAGAGTTCATGTGCTTCTTCCCTGAGTCACTTGCATTTTCTGATCTTTGGGGGATTTGGAATAGGATTGTAGAGATGCTTGAGGTTAGAGCTAAATCACTGTTCATCATATCTTTGCTGTTCAGAAAATGGAAAGGGCAGCAGATGAAAGGCCACTGGGAAGCGGGCGCGGGGGCTGGGGGCTGAGCCTGCCCAGCCTCGGTTCCTGGCAGCCGCCTCCGGCCGAGGGAACCGGAGCAATTCAAGCCGCGTCCTCGTTTGCCTGCCCACAGAGCGAAGGGGCGCGCCAGGCTTCATGGCCCTCCTAAGGGGTAATTATTGGAAAACAATTTGAGATCCTCACGGGAGGACAATTCAGTACAAAGGATTTCTGTTAAAAATTTTGTTATCTGTAAGTCAACCTTGAAATTGTCAGAAGAAAAAAGTTCTCCCTTGGATGTACATTGATTTTAGTTTTCCCATGCCGCATTTTTGTATTTAATTATTTTTTACTCATGAAACTTGATTTTATGTAGTTAGTACAAGTCAAGAGATATAACTGTCAGTTTGTGGTTCTCATATGCAGGCTTTAAAGGTAAATCCTCGTGTTCTCTTGATGCTCTGTTGCATTACTGACTTGCTGGAATAACTTGGTGAGGTCCAAAGTCTGCTCCTGTTCTGTCCCCTCTCCTGTCCTACCACCAGCAGCTTTCCACTCCTGTCCTGCACTCCTCCCTCTTCTTCCTCCTCGATGTTTTACTGTCTCCCACCTCTCCACCCTCTGTGATGTGTTTATCCCCTGCCCTCCTACCCAGTTCTTGTCACCCGGAGGGTGACTTCAGAGCTTTCTGGCCACATCCCAGACCCAACCAATGACAAAGGCAGTTGTGACAGTAAAGTTTCAAGGAACAGATGACATCGTGGCTTATTGTCTAAGAAAGGGATCAAAAACTTGTAACTGACATCAGTTTCTCGCTTTCGGTCCTGACAGCGTCTGGAATCCCACTTGACCCCAGCAGGGAGCGCGGAGGTGGGCTTGGAAGCAGCCCGCAAAGTGGCCCTTCTCTGCTTTTGTTGTGGGCTCTGCTTGGAATGGACAGAAAAAATAGGGTCTGAGAGCAAAAGGGCTCATTTGTATATTTCCCAAATTGTTTCTCTCTTCCCACAGGATCCAGGGCTTGCCTCTCTTAGATCAGGTTAACACAATGATCTCAAAAGTAGCATAGTTAACAATTTTACCATCAACTAAACCAGGAGCCAAAGGAAACATGGGAAACCTCTTCAAAAACCAAATACTTTTAAGCTGTAAGAATGATGCATGTTGATGTTAGTTGGTCAGTTTGATGTTGGTAATTAACAGTTACCATTCAGCTTGGCAAGAAACAGCTCTGGAGTGATCCTTTATCACATGTCTTAGACACTGACATGAAGATAGAAAGCAGGAGCCAGGCAGCCGTGGCCCGGTGAGGTCAGTCCCTGTGGTTTTTAATAAGCAGCTCCAGGCTTCGGATTCTGGGGCAGGGCCAGGCCTGGAGCGGCTGCTAGCTGTCACGGCGCAGCCCCACGTGAGTCCCCAGGAGTTTGGAAGAGGAACGGTCTAGCCCCTACGTGTCTATACTCCCACCATTGCACCCTCAGCTGTAATGAAGCTAGGTAATTCTAGTTTTTTGTTTTTCACATTTATATATGCTAATTCATTCCCCTTATAGTATTAACTACCTATTCTACCTCTTAGAATTACCAAAATGTTTAATAATATCTTAATTGAATAACTTTGAGTTGGTTTGTATGTATAAAATGGATAATGATGTAACAAGTTTGCATCATTAAAGATTTCTTTCATCAAAAGGCAAAGTTTTACTAGCTTACTCTAATACATTTAAAAAACTTTGAACAATTTATAAAAGTGACATGCTTATTACATATTTTCACAATTAACATTGCGAATGTGTATGTAGTAAGATGTGAAAGCCCCCTCCATTTCCCATCTCTCCACAGGAGTAAGCATCGTATCTTTCCAGAACTTTTGCTATATATTCACAATTATGGTAGGAGTATAAATGTGGGGTGGTTATAGTTTTAAAACCTATATTGATTGTATCGTGCTGTGCATCCTATTATCCATTTAGCCTTTCTTGCTTAACTAGATCTTGGGCCTCTTTCCTTATCAGTACATAGAGATCTACCTCATTTTTATGGCTGAAGACTATAATTATTTCACATTTCCATAATGATGCATAGATTAGATGTCTTACAAATTCTTGCTATCACAAGGACTGCTACTGTAGGTATTCTTGTATGTCTAGCATGTGTTCCTGTGCTAGCATGCATGGTTAAGTTGTACATTTGTAAATGTGTGTGAAATGTGCCTGTTGCCACCAGTGACAAAGGATGTACAAAATTCAGAGCGATGAGCTGGGGAGACATTACAGAGCTAGGAAAAGATGTTCCTAAGCCCTGTGCTCTTCTACCCTTTTACTGGCTAATGTAATTGTAACTTCGCGTGCACTACTGCATTTTTAATGGAAAGTTTTTCTGTTTTAATTCCATGAATTGACACTGCAAAGAGTTAAGTTTGAAGCTCAATGGCCTTTTAAAACTCCTGTATTCCTAAGCTGATTTTTCAACAGTTAGGTATGAGGTCAGAGAGGCATGTCCATGAAAGGCGAGGCTGCTGACTAGCGAGAAGCCAGAGGAGGCAGCCCATCGGCGGCGCTGTCCAGTGCCCCAGAGCTGCAGCCGCGGCAGCGGGCTGGCTGATGGGACACAAGACGGCGCACTTTTTTCTTAGCCACGTTTGTCCACTCGGGAAAGTAGATACTGCAATAAGATGCAAATAGTTTTATTGCCACTTAATATGCTGCTTGTGCCGAATTGGTAAAATTTTAATAATTAGGTTACTGACCAGTTTAACCACATACTCACAAGGTAGAGTGTGTCTTAAACACACAGCTTTCTATCCCAAAAAGAATAGCATTTTTTTAATTGAGAGTTTTAGTAAATACAAAATCCAGGTGATGGGTTTTGGGTTAGGAGAACAGAAAGTATGTTGATATGAGGCTTGACCTTCCAGAAAGTGTCCACTGAGACCCCTGCTGTCGTTTCTGTTTCTCAGTGCTCGGTCTGGTCCTTCCCATATGGGCGATAGCGCTCATCTCCTTTGGTGTGGCACTGCTGTTCGCCTTTTTTGTGTGGCTCTTTGTGTGTCCATGGATGCGAAGGAAAATAGCAGGTAAGTGCTCTTTTATTCTCATTTACCAAAGTGCTCCCAATGCCTGAGACTGCAGATGTAATGCACAGTTATCCTTACTAACAGAGGGAAATGGAAGCACGGCTAAGTCTAGAAGATACACTGAGGTACATGCCCAGTCCTTGTCTCTTGGGTCCTGACTGCTTCCTGGCTCACACTTTTTGTTGCTAACTTGTGACCCAGGTGAGGGTAAGGCCCTAGTTGCTGGATAATTGGAAGTTAACTATGCAGTTAAGTTCTGCCAGCCTGATGAAAAACGTTCGCCTTCTAGGAAATGCAAATGAACACCACAGTAAGGTATCACTTCACACCCACAAGAGCAGCTAAAAGGAAAAGACTGTCAATACCAAGTGTTGGTGAAGAAGTGGAGTAGCTTTACACTGAAATGTAAAGTGGTACAATCTCTTTGGAAATTAGTTTAGCAGTTTCCTATAAAGTTAAATATGTACTTACCATATGGCCCAGTAATTCCACTCCTAGCTATTTATGCAAGAGCCATGAACAAGTATGTTCATGAAAACACTTGTATACAAATAATTTGGTCATAACTGCCAAAAACTGGAAACAACCCAGATGCTTATTAACAGGTTAATAGATGACCAAATTGTGGTATATTCATACATTAGAAGACTACTGAGCAAGACAGAAAACAAACTACCCACCATAGGTGCAACAGCAGAACAGATTTCACAGACCTTATGTTGAGGGAAAAAAAGCCAGCTACGGAAGGGTGCACACGGTGGGATTCCAGGGAAAATTAGTCCGCAGGTAGAAATGGTTGTGGAGGCCAGTGGGGGGTTGCAGGAGATAGAATACGAAGAGCATGAGGGAACTTGGCAGGGACATGAAAATGTACTCTTTTTTTTCAAAAAGGTTTTATTTATTTTTAGAGAGAGGAGAAGGGAGGGAGAAAGAGAGGGAGAGAAACATCAATGTGTTGTTGCCTCTCACGCACCTCCGACCTGGGGACCTGGCCTGCAACCCAGGCATGTGCCCTGACTGGGAATCGAACTGGTGACCCTTTGGTTCACAGGCCGGCAGTCAATCCACTGAGCCACACCAGCTAGGGCATGTTCTCTGTCTTAACCCCAGTTATAGGTTGTACTTATTTGTTGTCACAGGTCATCTACCTGCACGTTTAAAATGTATCCATTTTATTATATGTACACTATGCCTCAGTAAAAAAACAATTTTTAAAGAAAGAAGGAGAATATGGCTTAGCTGCCAGAGCTATTTTTCCTGTCATTAGCAATAAAATTGAATTCCAAGCCTTGAGGCCACATTTTTTACAGAGCTCTCAAAAGAAGTATTTACTTTTGACCTCAGAGTGGACTTTACAATCATGTTTCAATATGGATATATCTGAATTTGAAAGTTCATATTTCAAAGATGACCAAAACAAATGAGATATACCATGTTCATGAATTGGAAGACTCAGTACAGATGTCAGGTCTCAGGTTGATTTATAGATTTAACACAATTTAAATAAAAAATCCCGGCAGGATATTTTGTAGATATAAACAAGCTGCTCCTAAAATTTATAATGAAGGTAAAGAAACTAGAAGAGCCAAAACAATTTTGAAAAAGAATAAAGTTGGAGCATTCATACTACTCAACCTTAAGACTCGCTATAGAGCTGTAAGACAGTGTGATGTTAATGAACAGATAAACATCTAGATTAATAGAACAGAAATAAATAGACTGACAGGCATATGACAAAAAAAAAACAACCTTGACCTAATCCTTACACACAATAAAAAAAAAAAAGCACCACAGATCTAAATAAAAAATAGAAGACAGTAAGACTTCTAGTGAAAAAAAAAATCAGGGAAATCTTTTGTGGCCATGGGTTAAGAGTTTTGAGATAGGACACCAAAAACAACTCATAAAAGAAGTTGGGAAATTGCACTTCATCAAAATTAAAAACAATTGGTCTATGAGAAACGCTGTCAAGAGAATGAAAAAGACAAGCTGTAGACTGGGAGAAAATGTTGGCAAATCCCCTGGCAAAGGACTTATATTCACAATATGTAAAGAAATCTAAGAAAACAACCCAATTTTTAAAAAAATGAGCAAAACATTTGAACAGACATTTTCTCAAAGAAGGATATATGGATAGCAAATAAAGCCATGAAAAGATTGCTCAACATTACTTGTCATGAGGGAAATGCAAGTTCAAAATCACAATGAGATATCCTTACACCGCTATTTGAATGGCTTTATTAAGGAAAAAAGACAATACTGAGTGCTGGTGAGGACAAGGAGCAGCTGGAACTCATACAATGTGGGAGAGCCACCCAAGAAAACAGCTTGGCAGTATCTTATAAGATTAAATATACACTTGCCAACTCCTAGATATTTACCCTAGAGATATGAAAAGTTAAATTTACACAAAAATGTGGATCTGAATGTTCATAGCAGCTTTATTTGTGGTCACCCTAAACTGGACACAGTCCAGACTATCCATAGGACGAATGAACAAACTAGGGTATATCCCTATGTTGGGATACTACTCGGCGGTGTAAAAGAATGAACTATTGATGCCCGTAGCAACATGGATGATTCTCAAAGGCATTGTGCCACATAAAAGAAGCCAGTTTCAGAAAATTAAATATCGTATGGTTTCATTTATATGACATCCTGAAAAAGACCAAAGTGTAGAGACAGAGGCCAAATCGGGGGTTGTCAAGGCTTAGGTTTGGGCGAAGAGTTTGATTACAGGGAGCTTTGGGGAGTGACGGTAGACTTCTCCATCTTGGCCCAGAAGGGGGCTACAGGAACCTAGACATGTGTTGCAATCAGGAGTGTAAACACACGGAGACCATTCGCTATTTGCACGTTTAAGAACTAGTGGTTAAAAACATCCATATTACTGCGTACAGCCTCAACTGAACTAGTGAAGCAACATTGATGTTCGTGCTTCGCGGTAGCTCCTCCCTGCTGTCTGTGGGGCGTAACTGTTGGTATTGCCTCCTCCATTCATACTGAGCGCTAGCCTAAGGGGAGCCCCCTTAAACACACTGCTTGTTTGATTTCACTGCATGGGAGTGATAAACCACACTTAAATGCTTTTTTAAAAAAGTTTTTTCTAATAGCCGAATGTCAAATGGACCACAAAACCTTTGTTTTCCAGCTTTAGGTGATAATGTCACAACAGAAACTGACATTGCTCCCCATTCTGGCTTTCTAGGAGTTTTTTTGTGTGTGTGAATGCCATATATTTTGATATTTCAGTTTATATTTCCTGCTTTATACAGACTAATGGTTAAGGGCATGGAACACAGAGCTATACTGCCTGAATTTTGCTACCAGTGTGACCTTGGCAAATGTCTTAATCTCTCTGTGCCTCAGTTTGCTCATTAATAAAATGCAGAAAATAATACCCAGCTCATGTGTTAACAATATTTGTTTTAATTATTATACTCTAGACAAATACTACCTTCTCTCACCTAGATTATAAGCAGCTTGAGGTCAATAGATCTATATGTACATTTCTTGTTCCCTGTAGCATATAACAAATTTAGTTTAAAATTTTTTATCTGTTTATCTGATAAAACTGGGTAGCGGTAGAGGGATGATAGAGGCAGAAATTAGGTGGGAGTGTTTCTAGCAGAGGGACCAAGAAGAGCATTCCCATTTCATTTCTGCAGGTGAGAGCTTAGAAATGCGCTCAGGAGGTTTTGTACGTGGCAAGAGCATGAAATCAGCAGCATCACATATCACATTTGATTTAAAAAGAGTGCTATCGAGCTTTAAAATGACTTTCTAAAAATCCTTTGGTTCTTTTTGAGGTGAAGGATTTTTAAAAATAAGTAGGATCTCTGCTCTTTTTTCTTTTTTGAGAAAAATGATTTACTTTTTTCCTAAGATTTAGTGACCTAAAATTTGCAGACCAATAATTTATTGTACAGAAGAAAAGCAAACAGACCATAACAGTATCTTTGAAGACAAAAAGGATAAACATTTCAGTGATTCTGAGGTTAGTTTAAGAAAACAGAAGGCCAGTCTAGATGGTTATAGAATTATAGGCTGTTAGCCTGTGCAGGACACTGGGGAGCAGATATGACCCCTTCTGTTTTGCTGGGTTTTCATGAGCTAATTCAGGCCCTATGCCCCCATCTTTGCCTCAATAGCTGAGTATTTTGCCTTAAGTTTCCCAGATAATCAATTGAACTCTCTACTTCATTTTCTCTATCTAGCTATAAATTTTTTGTTTCATGTCCAAAGTAAGTACTGAGGTATAAAGGTAAGTACCCATTTTTTTATACTTACTTTTCAGTAACAAGAATGCTTCCAAAACTTTCAGCTATGATGTGTTTTCTTTAGGCAAATTACAGAAAGAAGGTGCTTTATCGCGAGTCTCTGATGAAAGCCTCAATAAAATTCAGGAAGCGGAGTCCCCCGTATTTAAAGAACTACCAGGTGCCAAGGCTAATGACGACAGCACTGTCCCTCTCACGGGGTCGGCTGGGGAGACCTCGGTGGCCCCGGAAGGCACATCAGTGGGCGGCCACCCCCGGGCCACTTATGGTAAGAGCCCCACGGAGGGCTTGGGCTTGCGTGGTGGCAGAGAGCAGTCCCTTGGGTACGCATCTGGGCCTGCATGTGGGGGGTTAGGTTTCCGTGCACAGCAGCGTCCCCCAGTTTTATGTTTTGAGAAAACCCTGGATCCCAGGAGGCTTCAGGAGACCAGCCCTTCAGTCAGCAGAGCGGGATTACTCTTGTCCTGTGCTTTTCTCCCAAGGACTATTTATAGGACTATTTACAGTGTTATCAGAGGCGCCAAGGGTGCACACGGTGCCTCTGTGCAGCTTGCTCAGCTGCGTGTGTGTGTTTTCGTGTTGCAGAGTTGCCTAACTGCTAAAGCTTGGCTTATCAGCTTAACAAGGAGGCCTTCCTCGTGAAAGATGCCAAGAGAAAGCTAAAACCGGAACCAGGGCACTCTCCCACCAGAGAATCACAGAAACCTCAGAAAATGTCAAGACTGTTTCGGGGGTGTCCTTTTGTCCCGTAACATTTGTAGACAATAACGGGCGAGTGCCAGCCTCTGCCAGGCCTGTTGGGGCAGCTTCCCGCCTCCCTGCAAGGTGGGGCCCTGGCACCCACTCGCCATAGGTGCAGCCTCAGATTTGGCCCAGAGATGGCAAATTAATCTTGCCCCACAGATCTGACAGGCCCTGCCTTCGACAGTCATGATTGGCCTTGTAAGGAACACCTAGAATATCTGTCTCACAGTGAACTGGGTTTTGCCTCTTATGTATGAAGTTTTCTAAAATAATTCCCTTATAAGGATTCCCCCTTTACTGGTTACTAGAAACAGGAAAGAATGCTATAGTAATTTCTGGAAGATGCTTTTTAGAACTTAAATCACATTATTTTAAAAATATTATATTAGTTTTATCCTTTTGTAGTATGTCTCCAAGTTTTGTTTTTTTTTTTAACCATATTACATGTCCTCTATAGTCAGTTTAGAAAATAAGGCATGAGGAAAAAATTTGAATCACCCATAATAACCCAGCCTTCCAGAGATTACCATTTTGAAACAGTGGGGAGTATATCCTTTTAGACATGATTTATATTCAAAAGGCTAGAAAAATAAGACTTTTTTTTAACCCTTTCCAGGAAGGGCACTTTCCATGACTCATGGCTCCATAAAATCGCCCATCTCCAATGGCACGTTCGGCTTTGACGGCCACAGGAGGAGCGACGGCCATGTGTATCACACTGTGCACAAAGACTCGGGGCTCTACAAAGACCTGCTGCATAAAATTCACACAGACAGGGGCCCCGAGGAGAAGCCTGCACAAGAAAACAACTACAGGTTCCTGCGGCGGAATAACAGTTACACTTGCTACACAGCGGCCATTTGTGGATTGCCAGTCCACTCGACTTTCAAAGCCGCTGACTCGTCTGCACCAGAGGACAGTGAAAAGCTGGTGGGTGACACTGTGTCCTATTCTAAAAAGAGACTTCGCTATGACAGCTACTCAAGCTACTGCAATGCGGTAGCGGAAGCTGAGATAGAGGCGGAGGAGGGAGGTGTGGAAATGAAGTTGGCATCTGAGCTGACAGATCCCGACCAGCCTCGAGAGGACCCCGTGGAAGAAGAGAAAGAAGAGAAAGACACCCCTGAGGTCCACCTCCTGTTCCACTTTCTGCAAGTCCTCACTGCCTGTTTCGGATCCTTCGCACACGGCGGCAATGATGTGAGGTGAGGACATTGGTCGTTCAGCAAGTATATATTGAGGGTCTGCCACGTGCCAGGAACTATTCTGGGCACCAGGATACAGCAGCAAACAACACAGACAAAAGTGCCTGCCAGTTGTGGTGGGGGCGGGGCACAGGCAGGAAACAAATAAATGAGGCCCCACATGTAATAGGCTACACAGTGATCAATGTTACAGGGGAAAACGAATGGGAAAGGGGGCTGGACCTGCTGGAGACTGCAGTGTTAGCAAGGCTGCTCAAGTAAGGGCTCGCTAAGTGAGATCCGAAAGGGTGAAGGGATCCAGCCACGTGAGCATCTGCAGGAAGAGCATTTCAAGAAGAGGGAAGAGCAGGTGCAAAGGCCTGAGGCAGGAGTGTGCCTGGTGTATTGTAGGAAGAGCAATGAGGCCACAGAGGACAAGTGTAGACTGTAAGGGTAGCAGGTCATGGAGTCCTGGAGCATGTCGGAAATACGTGCAGATATGTAGAGTGCCCCTACTCTCTTTTTACTAGCTAGATAGCTAGTGACAAGTCACTTGATTTTCCCAAAACCTCAGTATCCCAATCTGTAAAATGGGGGTAAAACTAGCACCAACCTCAGGGTTTTCATGAGGATTAAATGAGGTGATTTATAAACGTGCTTAGGACAATGCTCCTTCTATAATCAGTTTCTATACATTTTCACTATTATTATTATTATAATTATGCTGTAGAGCTGATATTTCTATCCAAATCAGGAAAACATACTATCGTTGCATTTTTTATTCTCCAGTTACATGACTCCACATTTCAGCCATGGGTTTCTATACACTGCCTCTCCATGTGCGACTGCATTTCTGTACGTTTTTTAAAAAGCCATTCCCCAGACAAGAGGCCCGGCTATCGTTTGTTCTACTCAGTGTTGTACAGGCATTGCCGTGTTAGTTTATTTAAGGCACGATGTTTTGTCCTACTTGAATTTTTTGACTGCCCCTCCCCAGACCCACCCCACTTCCCCCTCCTCTTTGTCAAGAACTCTTTACTGAAGACCCGGTACTGGCAAAGTGTTATGAATCGGGTCCCTGTCCTTCAGGAGTTTAAATTCCAGTGAGGGAAATAAGAAATACGTGTAGATGGGAAAGTAAAAAAGCACCCCAAAACAGTATTTCAAGGCCAAAGGAAGAGTTTAGGCAGTAACCCCTACAGCTGACCAGAGTTTAGAGCACTTGCTTACAGTTCGGGGGCCAGTTTTGAGGCTTTTGAGTAGGGATAAGGTCTGATAAAAACAGTGTTGTAGAAATTATAATATGACGGTGAAGAGGGGGCTTGTATTTATTCAACAGTTACTAAGTTTATACCAGGCCTCCGTGCTGAACCATTTGTAACTTACTCTATCCTTCTCCAAGGATTAGAGGTTATCAGTGGTATCCATCAAAGATAGGGGATTGGCATCTCAGAAATGTGATGGTTCTTGCCCAGGATAACACAGCAAGAGAGAAGCGGACTTGAGAGCCAATTCTTTGTGACTCTCTGCCCACACTCTGTCTACACAGAGTCTAGATTGGGACGGGAGGAGGGGACTGGAGCTACAGAAGCCATTGAAAGCCCATGTATAGATCCACATGTAAGGAGCTTGGAAGTTGTCACTCCCTCCTAAAAACAAGTGATAACCTGAACAGACTGAAAAATCAATGACAGTTTTTTTGGATCCAGAAGAGAGAGGAGGACACAGGGCAAACCACTGCCCCCAAGACTGGAGACACATTTAAATTCAGACAGTCAGAGAAGAGACACTCAGGAGCGGGAGCTGCTGTGGGAACCAGTGCCACAGGAAAGCCTGAGCTGTAATGGGAATTCCCAGAGGCTCGGTGGGGGAGAGTCTGAGAGTTAAAGACTCCAGGGCGACGCGGGGGCAGAGGCAGTTAACAAGCAGCACAACCAGTATGCTAAGAAAGGAGAGAAAATAGAGTCATGTAAAATGTTCAATTAAGACAAAATAGAACAAAGACCAAGGGTAACAAATAGACAAAAGTAACAGATATGATAGATATTAACCCAGCTATGTCAGAATCACTTTGAACGTCAGTAGTCTAAATGTACCAGTTAGAAGACAGAGGTTGTCAGATTGGATCAAAAAACAAGACCTAACTATGTGTTGCTTGTAAAAAACCCACTTTAAATATAAAGATACATACAGGTTAAAAGTAAGTGGAAGGAGGAAAATATGCTAACACTAATTTAAAAAATTATAGTCAGCTACTTCTGCTTTAACTTTGGACAGACAGGGACAGATCCAGCAGGCAGAATATCAGCAAGGACGTAGTTAAACTCAGCAGCAGCATCAGTCAACTATATAATTGTTTACGTTTATGGACTTCAGCAACAGGAGAATTCATTCTTCTCAAGCTCACATGAAACGTTCAGCAAAACAGACCACATTCTAGACCATGAAACATATCTCAATACATTTAAAAGAATAGAACTAACACAGTGTCTGCTCTCAGACCACAATGAAATTAAGCTAGAAATCAATAAAAGAAAGATAACTGGAAAATCCCAAATATGTGGAGATTATATAATGCACATGTGCATAACACATGGATCAAAGAACAAATATCAAGAGACATTTTTAAGTATTTTAAACTAAATGAAAATAAAAACATCAATATTTGTGGGATACAGCCAAACAGTGCTTAGAGGAAGATGTATAGCATTAATTACATTTATTAGGAAAGAACAAAAAAAAAATCCATAATCTAAATATTCATCCTAGGGGACTAGAAAAAAAAAGATCAAATCAAATCCAAACTAAGAAGAATAAAAGAAAGAATAAGAGCAGAAATCAATGAAATTGACATCAGGAAATCAATAGAGAAAATCAAGGAAACCAAAGCTGTTTTTTTTTTTTTAAAGATCATTAAAGTTGATAAGATTCTAACCTGACTAAATGAGAAACAAGAGAGTGAGAACACAAGTTACTAATATCAGAAGTGAAAGAAGAGACATCACTACAGACCCTGGGGACATTAAAACAATAGAGCGGTACTCCATGCCCACAAATTTGATGACAAGGATGACACTGGACCAATTCCTTGAATGAAAGAATCTTCAAAACTCACACAAGAAGAAATAGACTACCTGAATAGGCCTATATTTGTTTAAAAAATTGAATCAATAATTAATAATCTCCCAAAACAGAAAGCACCAGGCCCAGGGCAGTTCAGTGGTGAATTCTACCAACATTTAAGAAGACAATATAGCAACTCCCTACAATCTCATTCAGAGAATAGAAGCACAGGGAATACTTCCTAACTCATTGCATAAGACTAACACTATCCTATTACCAAAACTACACAAAGATGTTAAAAGAAAAGAAAACTACAAACCAGTATCTCTCATGCACATAGATGTAAAAATCCTCAACAAAGTATTAGGACAGTGAATCCAACAGAGTATAAAGTAATTACACACAATGACCAAGTGAAATTCATCCCAGGTATGCAACACTGGTTTAACATAGAAAATTCAATTAATGTAATCCATCAAACGTAAAACAAGAAAAGTCATATGATCATGTTGGTAGGTTAAAAAAAGCATTTAAAATCTACCACGTACTTAACAGTTTTTAAAAAATAAACCTTCAGTAAACCAGGAATAGAGGGAAACGTCCTCAACTTGATCATCAAGAATATCTCCAAAACACCTGGAACTAACATCATATTTAATGATGAGAAACTCAGCTTTCCCACTAAGATCAGGAGCACGTCCCTTTTCAACACCTTACTGAAATTCTAGCTAATACAATAGGACAAGAAAAGGAAATAAAAGGTACACTGATAGGGAAGGAAGAAATAAAACTTTTTGTTTGCAAATGACATTGTCTATTTATAGAGAATCTGAGAGAATCAACAAAAATTGTGAAACTAATAAACAGTTATAACAAGTTTGCAGGCTATAAAGTTAATACATAAAAATCAGTCGCTTTTGTACATATCAACAATGAACAGGTGGAATTTGAAATTTAAAACACTGTACTGTTTTTTTTTTTTTTCGGCTACAACGGCCATCTTTCAGCAATTTGCCAAAATGACTAACACAAAGGGAAAGAGGAGAGGCACCCACTATGTTCTGTAGGCCTTTGGGGGAGCATGGAGCTGTTCCTTTGGCTGCCCACACACTTGCAGATCTACAAGAAAGGCCATGCAGATGTCAAGGGAGTGGGCGCTGTTGGAAAAGGAATGCCCTCGGGGGGGGTGCATATAAGGGGACTAAATGGTAATGGAAAAATATATGATAAAGATTAAATTTTTTTAAGAAAAGGAATACCCCACAAATATTACCATGGCAAAACTGGAAGAAAGAGTCTACAACATTACCCAGCATGTGCTGAGCATTGTTGTAAACAAACGAGAGCAAGATTCTTTAGAGAATTAACATACATATTGAGCATATTAGGCACTCTAAGAGCTGAGATAGCTTCCTGAAACACATGAAGGAAAATGATCAGAAAAAGAAGGAAGCCAAAAAGAAAGGTCCCTGGGTCAGCTGAAGCATCGGCCCGCCCCGTGCAGAGGAGCGCACCGCGTGAGAACCGGTGGAAGGAGCCTGAGCAGCCGGAGCCCATCCCTGACAGAATCATAGCAGATATGTGCAAAAAAAATGAAAGCTCTATAGTGTGAAAAATGTTTCTGTTCATTGAGTCTCAGTGTGGTAGCCTGTCGTCCCCCCCCCCCCAAATATTTAAAGAAAACTCTGTGTCCGGAAAAGAATAAATAGAAAAACACAATACTATGTATATTAGTACCCCTAAAAATGAAATACTTAGGTATAAATCTAACAAAATATGTAAGGATCTACAAGTGGAAAACTACCAAACCGATGAATGAAATCAAAGAACTAAATAAATAGAGTTTTCATGTTCAAGTCTAGGAAAACTCAATATTGTCAAGCCGTTAATTCCCATCTTGGGGATGCTGATAATGAGGGGAACTAGGCATGCGTGGGGGCAGGGATTATGTGGGAAATATTTGCACCTTTGCCTTAGTTTTGTTGTGAAATTTAAATCGCTCTAAAGGAATGAGGTCTTAATTATAAATTGGAAGAAAAAAAGAAAGAGAGCTGTGGCTTCTCCCCAAAAAGGCAGTGGGTGGCTGCCAAGGGCCTGAGCGATGAGAACAGGCTCAGGTGAAAGGACGTGAGCACCCAAGTTGCTTCTGAGCTCACATCCCAATCCTGCCTCCTGCTGGTCACATGACTTGAGCGTCCAGTTCTTCATCAGTAAAATGGGAGGGGCTGTACCTAGTTTGCAGAGTGGATGAGAGAACTAGTGTTGGTGATTTCACAGTCTGGGAGCCGGCACGGCTGTCCGTAACTGGTGGCTAATCTCGGTAGCAGTGCTGGCAGTGAAAATGGAAAGAAATGGAGAAAGAACTCAATTTGTGTGCCCACTTCTTGTTATTTTTGAGTACAGTACTTCTAAAATGTTACTGTAATAAATCACATGCACATTAAGGCGGCTACGAGAGGCCCTGGCTGGCTGGGTGGCTCAGTTGGTTAGAATGACATCCTGATGCACCACGGTTGCAGGTTCCATCCCCTGTCAGGGTACATACGACGATGAACCCGTGAGTGCTTAAATAAGTAGAACAACAAAAATCGCAGTTTCTCTCACTCTGTTTCTCTCAAATCAGTAAATTAAAAAAAAAAAAGTTAAAGATAGCTACCATTAAAAAAAATAACAAGCGTTGAAAAGGATATGGAGAAATTGGAATCTTGTGCATTGTTAGTGGAATGTGAAGTGGCACAACCACAATGGAAAACAGTGTGGAGGTTCCTCAAAAAATGAAAAGTAGAACTACCTTGTGACCCAGCAATCCCACTCCTGGTTACTTACCCAAAAGAAGTAAAAGCAGAGCCTCAGAGATATTTGTATACCCATGTTTATTGCAACATTATCCACAATAGCCAAGAGGTGGAAGCAACCCAAACGTTGATCAGCAGATGGATGGATAAAGAAGATGTGATATATGCATGCAGTGGAATATTTAGCCTTAAAAAGGAAGGAAATTTTAACTCATGCTACAATGTGAATGAATCTTGAGGATGTTATGCTATGTGAAATAAGCCAGTCTCAAAAGACAGATACTGTATAATTCCTCTTATATGAGGTACCTAGAGTAATTGAATTCATAGAAACAGCAAAATGGTGGTTACCAGGGGCTGGGGACAGGAGGCAAAGGGAATTATTGTTGTGACTGCTGTGGAGTTTTTAGATTCATAGGATGAAAAATTTCGGGAGTACTGTTTCACAACGGAACAAATATACTTGACACCACTGAACTGTACGTTAAAAAATGGCTGAAAGGGTAAGTTTTCTGTTATTTTTTTACCACAATGAAAAAAGTCATTTTAATCACCACTAAATTATGTAGGCAAGCCACAACTATAGTAACAAAGGCTATTCTTAAGGCTAAGAAGTCACTGCATGTTGTAGACAGTGCTGTTTGTATAATTCGTCTACTTTTTTTTTATTCTCCCAGTAATGCCATAGGTCCCCTGGTAGCTTTGTGGCTGATTTATGAACAAGGTGCAGTTCTACAAGAAGCAGCTACGCCCGTCTGGCTGCTGTTTTACGGAGGCGTCGGAATTTGTATGGGGCTCTGGGTCTGGGGAAGAAGAGTGATCCAGACCATGGGGAAAGACCTCACTCCAATCACGCCATCCAGGTACGCCAGAGGCTGCCGCTGCGTTGGCGGGGCTGGTCCTGGGAGGCCCGTGCGGGGTCCGGATGTCCGAGAGCCCTCTCAGGCTGCCCTCACGCCCTCGCCCCCTCCACGCACCCACTCTGCAGGTGGGAGTCACGGTGAGGAGGGGGCGGAGGGTGAGCACCTTTGCCTGCCACCCATCATCGCCCTCCCTTACGCACCCTTGGGCCCCCCTCCGCAGTGGCACTGAGATGAGGGAGAGAAAACGGGAAGGGTGGGAAGATGGAGGGAAGGAGAAGTGGAAGCAGAGCAGGAGGGAATAGAAGAACCAGCCGGCAGCCCCGCATCCTCTCCCACTGGTGGTCTTACCCAGCGTGAGCTCCTGAGAGCAAGTGGGGAGCGAGGCTGTGCAAACCACTCTCAGGGCCCAGGGCCTGCCTGTCCCGAAAATTCTCTGCCACACCAGCTCCCCCTACTGGAGGAAAGCTGCTCTCACTTGCCACCCTTTGGGGCGGCTTGGTGTGTCCTTGGTCTTGGAGCCTCTGTCCTCTGAGGTGGGGTCCAGACTCGTGGTCTTTGCTGTGGTCCTGTTGTCCTTTTATCTAATTCTTTAGGTAGATTAGGGGTTAAATAACAAATTCACAAGAGAATTTTAGAAGGATACAATGAGAGCTTGCAACTACCTATTGTAAGAAATCTTTTCCCTCTCGATATTAATTTTAATAATTCTTTTATAAAATTGACTTCAAGAAAAATTAATAACCTGAGAAAATTCACTTTTTTGGTAGTAAGAACACATTTAAAAAATGAGAGTATAGTTTTTTGCACGCCACTTTAAAAATGACTGACCATTTTTTACACAGCAGGAATTTCTGACCCACTTACAAGTGTGTGGGTTTTGAAAACATTCCAGAAAAATAAGGCTCTTTGGGGCTGTAAACAGTGTAATGCAGAGCCCTGGTGTGAATCGTTGTCCTTATACAGCAGTTTCTTGTTCTATTCATGTCATCTGGCCCTGCCAGAAGCTGACAGTCGATTCAAAGAAGGCTCTAGGGAGACTTTGGCAGCCCTGGGGTGTCCGCGGGGCCGATACGAAGGGCGCCTGTGATGTGTCTCCTGTCTCCCCTGCAGCGGCTTCACCATCGAACTGGCCTCCGCGTTCACGGTGGTGATCGCCTCCAACGTGGGGCTCCCCGTCAGCACCACGCACTGCAAGGTAGGCCCCTTTGGGCTGCTGGGACCAGTCCGCAGTCACCCAGGGAATCTGAGCAAAGCTGGTTGTGCTGTGTATGTTGTTGTTTGTAGGGGGAAAATTCTCCTCCCGGCTTGCGGGGAGTGCATAAGCATTGCCGGCCGTGGGGGCGTCTGCTTCTCTCGGACTGTCCGCCTTGACCTCGCCTGCCCGCGTCGTGCAGACTTGGCTTTTTCCACGCATGCCTGGCCGAGCTTTCCCTCCTTCGATGTGTGCTTCACACTTTCCATGTGTCCTGTTTCTCTCTCATTGTTTCCACAGTGGACTTTGCATTGAAGTCATGTGTGCGCTAACCATATTCGTAGGCTCAAATGGGGGCATGCCACTCAGTTCCAACCCATTGCAGGGGACTGGGAGTTGACAGTGGAACTAGAGATAAGCAGAAATCATCTCAGTGGAATTGTAAGACACAGTTGTTTCGGTTCTTTTTCCTTATGTAGTGGTTAAAGTGACTGTATTGCCTTAAAGTAAATTCCAAATGAGGGTTAATGGTTAACGCTGCTCACTGCCAAGTGCTGTAAGACTCGGCGGTGCAAGAGGGAATTCCTTGCTGCAGGGTGCAGTGTTGGAGCTGGAAGGAACCTTAAAGACAATGAAGAGGAGACAGGCTCCATGAATGTCAGTGGTCCGTGAGTTATCCGTGGTCACTCAGGGTGGGACCAGGACTAGAACCCAGGTCTGGGAAATTCTAAGACATCTTCAGTGCACCTCCTCTAAAAACATTAACTTCAACAAAGCAAAAGTCATCTGCAGGTTTGTTTTTGCTTGTATCATTCAAGGAAAACTCAGTTGTACCTGCTGTGTGCGAGGCACTGTTCTAAGCCCCAGTGACCAATGACCATCTACCTTTACACACAATTTAAAAACTCCAACCAGTGTGTTCACAGACAAATGAAAATGGCTTAGTGCTTCGCATATTAAGGCCAGGAGCGCTGACGGGAGTACTTTTGGGGGCCAGCTGACAAAGCTAGAGCCCTGCAGCATGGAGAAGCAGCCTTATGGGAGTGGGGTTTTGTTGTTTTGTTTTCCTGTTTCCTTCTATTTTGCTCAAGAATCTACAGTGACTTCAGTTTCCACAAAGTTTCATTGTAAAAATTACTTCCACCGACTGAGTCGATACAGAGAGCACCAGGCACTGTGTTTAGTGCTTTACACAGTGGTGGGTATAAGGAGGTACAATTACCCACCATCATTACTTAGACGATAACTCATAAATAAGAACATGAAATAATAACAAGGAGGAGGACAATAATACAAATAAATAATACAATAAATAGTAAATAATATAAAAATAAACTCTGTGCTTTGTGCACTCACAACTCACTGTAAGCCTCGTTTTGCCCACTGCTGTACGTGCGAAATATGTCATTTATTGCCCCAGCAACCCTTTGAAGTTGGCCCTGGTGTTCCCAGTTTACAGATAAGAAAACAGAGGCTCCCAGAGTTAAGTCACTTTACCAAGGTCAAGCATTTAACCTGAGATAGAGCTGCTCAGACTGTCCCCTCGTGTTCTGTACCTCCTAGTCATTGTAATCATCATAATCGTGGTGACCAGTCACAGCTAACATGTGTGGGGCAAGTGCTTCCTACTGGGCACTGTTTTAAGTGCACTGTGAACAATTACCTTGTTTAATGCTTCCCAAAACCTTTGGAGATGAGTGCTAACGTAACCCCTGTTTTAGCGATGGGGTTGACCCACCTGTCCAACACGATGACTCAGCCAGCGAGTGGCCCAGCGCCTGCCCCCCAGCAGCCTGCCCGCACGCCTCTCCAGGACAGAGGGGAAGGCACGAAAAGGAAGGCGGTGTCCCCTGCCATCCTCCTACCATTGTTACTTTTCTAATTGCAGTTATTTAAAAATTCCAAAAGAGCACATGTTCACTGAAACTCGTCAAACAACACTGCATGGAATGAACAGCGTTCATCTTCCCCCTTCTCCACCTCAACTTCAATTCACTGTGATGTGTGGGAACCCAGAGGAAATGCATGTTACTATATATATTCCTTCCCCTGGAAACAGGGCTTGAACTTTCTGTAGGCATAAATAGTCTTTTGAGTTGCCTGAAAATAAGTACTATGCTGTCTTTTTAATGATTAACCCTGCACTTGAGGACGTCTAGTGAAGGCAAACTTTTTTACACCAGTTGAAAGATCTGTGAAAAAAACAGCCCAAGTTTGGCTTTTCTAGGTTGTCATTGTTACTGACTGAACAATATTTGTAAGCCAGCCTATACTGCTGTATAGAGTGAAGTGTTACAACCAAGACTACTAATTTTGCTGATAACACTAAACTCTATAATGCCATGTATGACATAAATGAAAAGTATAGAATGCCTATAAAACTACACTCCCCTATAGTTATCTTTAAATGTCACTTCCCCAATATTTATATTTATACTATAATAAGGAGGTCCTATTAAGGATTTGTATCCAGTTTGTATAGGACCTTAGTGAACAAAAGTGTGTTATCATTTCCCTAAAATAGCCATATAAACCATATGATAGGTTTTGTTTCCTTAGAGCTGCAGATTAGTGTTAGAATAGCTTTTTGGCACTTAAAACAAGTCTTCTTAACATGGGACCACAGTGGATGTCATCTATCAGTTGGGCTCGAGACAGAGCTTACCTTGGATTCTAGACTGTTTGTCCAGTGTCCTGGACTTTTGGCCAGAGCCCAGGGCTAGTTTCCACAATAATGAAAGGCCAGGGTCCCGGCTCTCAAGAACACGCAACCGACAAAGATGCTCATCCAAGTCCAGGAAAGAGGGGTGCTAAGGAGGGTTCACAGGCGCCACCCCGCTGGTGCTGACTCTGTTGTACCAGGTGTTTCTTCTCCTCTCAGCAGCCCCAGGATGGCACATGAGGGATGAAGTGTGAGAGGCATGGGACGGCGCTAAGAACGAGGCCCTGTGGGGGCAAAGCTGTGAATCGGGAAACATTCAAAGATTGCCGATGTCCACATAAAATCCTGACAACCCCGTCAGCTGTCTTGGAATAATCAGACCCTATGTTTGGTTTTTCCGCCTTTCTGCTTCCTCTTCCATCTACTTGTTAGGTACTAACAGCAGTAGTTTCCATTAGAAGGTGAAAATGTTGGGAACTTGGCAGGAAAAAAGATGGAAACTATTATGTAAAATGAGCTTTTTCAATTTATCTGGGTAGGTACATTTCATTTATTCATGTTAACTTCTAAGTGTACCAATATTTAATATAGATGGTCCTTTGTGAGCTCTTTAATAGGATGTCAGAGTGGTATTATCCAAAATGTTATATAGTTCCATATTGGGATGGTTTGGGATTATTCTCTTTTGTGAATTAACCACATTATTCATCTCTATTGATGATCCAGATGATTACTCAACCTGCCTTTGGATTTGGAACAGCTTATAAGAAACACTACTGATTTAAAATTTTAGGGTTATAATTTCTAATTTAATTTTCTATTTCTTGCTCTCTGGTTCCCTTGAGTCTCAATAATTCTACTGCTGTTAGTGCCCGATGATGGCCTTAAGCTGGAAGCACGCTCAGCCTCCCGAAAGGGCAGTCAGGACTCAGAGCAGAAGACCCGTGTTTGAGATGCACTGTGACTGGATGGGAAACTAGGTTTTGCAATGCCAGTTCTCCTCAGACACAACCCCAGCTGAAATTTTTTTTTTTTACAACTTTACAAAATGAATCTAGAGTTAATTTGGTAGGTTAAATTAGCAAGAATATAAAATGATCTAAAAAAAGCAATACGGATTGGCTTTGCCAGAGAGAACATATGCTATAAAGAAACAGGATTTAAAAATAGATGGGGAGAGGGAGGGGGAATTGTGATAAAGGGAACAGAGTTTGGGATGATGATAAAGTTCTGGAGATGAATGGTCATAATGGTTGCAAAACAATATGAATATACTTTATGCTACTTAAATTTTATACTTAATGATTAAAATGATAAATTTTTTGCTATGTATATTTTACCACAATAAAAAAAAAGCTTAGAAACTTATATAAAAACAATAGAAAAGCAAGAGAGAGAGAACCTATTATATATGAGCGTATCGTTTGAGGAAGGGAAAATTTAACCAAGAACGAATGTTAGATAGCTGGCTATCAATCAAGGAGAACAAAATTAGACCCACAACTCTCAAAATATATGAACATATATCTGATGGCTTAAATAATATTTTTAAAATATTTTAAAATGTAGAATAAAATAGAACTTTATTTTGGAGAATTTAGAATAAAATAGAATTAAATATTTATCAGATATTCAAGCTAAGGATAAGTAACAGAAGAAAAGTACAGATATATTATTGCATGAAATTAGAAAATTGAAAGAAAAAGCAAAATACTGGGTTGGAAAAATATTTGCATAAAAATCAGAGTTATTATTACTCAATAAGGTCACACATAAATAAGGGACATATTTAAATTCCAATATGTAAAAGGGCAAAATACGCAAAGACAATTTTTATGCACAAAAACTAGAGGGAGTAAAATTAGATAAAAGTTCAGCCTTACTCATAGTTAAAGGTATACAAGTTAAAGCAACAGTAGCACGTTTTTGTTGCATGCTTAGCAAAATAGAACAATTTACAGGATCGTTGTGGTGTGCTGAAATTCACAGATTATGGATGATCTTGTATATTTATGTCTGTTTGCAAAACTATTTGGCAGTATGTATTGAGGTCCTAGAATGTACTAAGTAGACAAAGAGGTCTTCCTCAAAGAAACATTCCAGCTGATGCATGGGAAGGCGTTGGTTAATCATTTTGCAACCAACACAGTAAAGGTCAGATTGCTAAATCTTTAGGAGAATGGGAGAAGGAGGTTGATGAGAGGCAGGCTATTTTAATGGTATGAAAATGTTTCTTTATAGACTGTGGCAAAATGTTACATTAAAAATTGGTAAAGTTTGGTAAAGGCGTTTGGGAGTTCTTGCCGCTTTTCTCTAAGTTTCATATTATTTCAAGATGTTTTTAAAATGACCCCTTTAACAAATAATCCATTTCAGGACATATTATTTTTTAAAGCCTAAATATAAGCTATATGAGGGAATATGTTAATCATGAAACTATTTCTAATAGAGAAAAATTGGAAGCAAATTTGAAATGGTTAAATAAATTAAGGTACATGCACCTGAAGCATGTACCATTTTACATGGTAATGATAAAGGCTCTGAGTACTATGGGAAGATGCTTATAAATATTTTTTAAAAAATAGCATACCCTATTATTTCCAAGTAAAGATATTTTTATAAAAAATACTAGAAAGGAATATATAAATATGACAGTAGATTGGTAATTGTCCATACCTCTTATTACATAAACTTGCCCTAGAATTATTTTATTACCTTTATGCTTAAAGTGTTCTGGGACAAGAGGGTGAGTGGAGGTGGAAAAGGGTATAAGGGGGATAAATGGTAATGAAAAAAATACAATTAAAAAATAAATAAAAGGAAAGAAGGTTTTAAGAAAGGAAGGGAGGGTGTTGATAAAATGGAAACTGGAGTGTGTTCTCCTTAATGAACGAAGGTGATCCAGAACCACGGCAGTGCACGGCTGGGGGCGTGTTCTGGGAAGACGAGTAACAAGAAGAGTTTAATCTCTGAAGCTTGCATTTGTGGATTTGGTGGTGTGGGTCAACAAAATGTCAGAGTAACTAACTGCCTTTAAATATGCTGTGTTTTTGGCGTTCCAGTTTGCTTCCATAAACAATTTAAAGCGTTATATTTTATTTATTCTGTGGCGAGGCCCCGGCTGCTATTGAATCTCGCTGGCCACTGCTCACTCCGAGGCACCCAGGGGCCGGCAGAGACCAGCCTGCTTTACGGAGATCCATCCGCCAGAGCAGCCCCCCAACAAGTGGCCAAGGGCACCCTGTTAAACTGAGCTTCCCCAGACCCCAAGGCGTGAGATACTGCAGGCACTGTCCTTTCTTAGGATTTTTAGGACACTTAAAGTGTCTTTTTCTTTTTTTTCCTTTTTTAGACTTTCAACAAACCATAAAATGAACTAAGCGTATTTAGAAAAATATTTGAATTAGTAATCTAATTTTCAAGCATCTCTGTTATGACTCTGTGTAGCTTGATCAACAATTTAGATTCAATAATATTTATGCTCCATTTTATTTTTAAATTAGCTAAAGTGGAAGGACTGCAAGGCAGTTTGAGATGATGGAGAAACCCAGTTTAAAGTCAAGAGGCCTGAGTTCTAGTCCTCAGTCGGCCGTGGTTTATGGCATCTCCTGGCGCCCGAGCCCTAGAGAGCTCTGTTTTACCCTCTGTAGCATGAGCCACATGGTCTCATGCTCGAAGGTCTTCCAGCTCCAACATTTTATGATGCTGTTATTCTAAGAGGAGGATATGTAATTGCCCTTTCATTATGTAATTAAGCAGATTCACATACTGTAGTAAGCAATGTTCTACATGGGAAATATTTAAAACGGGCGTTCATAGTTTATAAGGTACAGAGCAGAGCAAACATTTAATTGGCTGAAGTTCCACTCAAATAGAGCAGAATATATAGATGGGAAAGTGCATCAGATCTCTATGCTGAACAGAATAATCCTGAAACAATTATACCTAAAATCTAAACGATTTTAGAAGCTTTTAGCAAATTTAGGGGAAAGAATTGGTAATTTTATAATGTTATTTAAGATTTCCAGTTGTCTTTGGTTGAATGTAGATTGTATTGCACATTACAATTTTTAAGGGCCTCTTTTTACTTTACAATGTTTGTGCTCTTACAGGTGGGCTCTGTGGTGGCTGTGGGCTGGATCCGCTCCCGGAAGGCTGTGGACTGGCGCCTCTTCCGGAACATCTTCGTGGCCTGGTTTGTGACAGTCCCCGTGGCTGGGTTGTTCAGTGCTGCTGTCATGGCTCTCCTCCTGTACGGGATCCTCCCGTATGTGTGATTTGTCTTCTTCCGGCCAGTGAACAAGGGATAGTCTGGCGTGGGAAGGTGTGTGCCCACATTTCACACACGTGCACGTGTCCCGCCCATGCATGGGCTGTTTCTCAACCAGCTTCTCCATGCACCCTCCGGTGGTTCCAAACCACACTGCTTACCTAGGCGGTAGCGAGTCATCCTCCAGAGCTAACTTAACTACTGTACATAATAATGTGCATTAAACTGGTATCGTGGTGATATAACGTGGTGCAGTTACTTATATATTAAATATATATATACTGTATACATAGAATAGGTAGCATTATTTCAAATATATTCAAAATGGGAGTGGAGATAATTGCCTAGAATTCAATATTCAACAAATCTTTGTACATAGTGATTTCAGTGGCAAATTTTGAGAACCTTTTAAAAGGAAAGCCTAGTTTGGAAATGCTGTTTTTCTCATTTAGTATACTGTAAGATAACTGAGGTACGGGCTTGATGATGCAGATTTGGGAACGTGTACGTATGTTGGAGCGCTGTTGAATAATACTGGAACCGGAGTTCACCAGTGCTTTCACTGAGGAGTTTGTTCATATACTGTGTATTGATTATGTAATATATCATAATTGCTTCTGTAAATACTTAAAACTGTAATTTTTTAATGGTGTGCGCTTCCCTTATACTTTTTTGATCAGAGAATTTTGGAAAGTACCAAAGAAGCAGGGGAATAGTTTGCCAGTATTATATTTTCGTATTATTTGTCTCCCCTCTTTATTAACCCTACTGTTAACCTGGGCTGCAGCAAGACCCCCACACTCTGGCCCGCCCTGCAGCAGTGTGTGTGGTGAGGCACCAGCCCCCGTCCCACTTGCGGTTCCCCAGCCCACCTGCCCCCACCAGGGCTGCCACATGCCAGACGCTGGTCAGCCCTGCAGTGGCCATTCATTGTTGTCAGTGTAGAGACTGTACAGATGTTAAAGACATGAAATCAAGCACTACATATCAAGTCCAGTTCTAATTTTCACTCCTATTCTCCCCTGCATTCGGAAGAAAGGAATTCTTGTCTCAAACGCTGAAGCGAGTACTTATACATTCTAGAAATTCGGCAGGGGGGAGGTTGAAATATCAGACAATACACTGGATTTGAGGATTTCCTTGAGGCCTTTACTAAGCTGAACATCTTGATGCTCTACTGTAGTCCCATTGCATTCTTTTTTGATAGTGGGAGGGAGGAAGTATGACTAATGTTAGAGCCTGAAACTATGGAAATGCTGCTAAAATTTTTATATTGACAGACATTTTCTCGGTACTTCATTGTGATTTTTCATTAATCAACCATATTAAATTTATAATAAAAAATGCCCCTCAAGTTTGCCTCTGAAGTTTTTTTCTAAATATCAGTGTTTTTTATCTAGAGTTTCCACAATCATAAAAACTATGTATTTGGTTACCTCTATTTTTCAGATCACCTTTTCTCTTATTTTACTATGACATATTTGTGCAGAAACTATACATGAGCAAGAAAAGGAAAGAATGGCTCAACATCCAGAAATCCCCACTGTTAATAAACACATACCTTGGTCCTTCAGCAATGAACTCTCTGATAACGGGTTTGTCACTCTAAAGTTGGCCTGATTTCAGGGCAGAGGACCTAGCAGGGAAATACACATCCTTTCTTCTTGGCTTAGACATCCCAAAACAAAACAAAAAAAGACAACCACTTGGAGCTTCAGAAGGAAACTTTTTTAGCCTCTGCAGGGAGTCACGCGCTCCAGTTCCTTCCCGAGCCAGGAAGATAACAGAGATGAGGAAAACTGGCCAGGTGTTAAAAGTCCTTCATCGCAAAGAAATGTGCCCTTTTCATTGTTAAAAGTGGCATTTTAGGCCTTTCATTTCTACACTTATGATAAAATCATAGATTCAAGAACAAAGTTGAGTTCCCTTCTAAATTTATAAGAAAAATAACAGTAAGACAACACAGTGGCAGTTTTTGCAAGCCATGTGCTGGAAGAAGGACTGCCATCTGAGCCCCGGCACAGCCCCAGGAGTCAGGGTGGCAGAGATAGAGGCTGGGCAGGCAAAGTGGGCTAAAGGTCACGTTCACTCTGAGCCTTTGAATGACTAAGCACCTAACTCTGTCACCAGCAATGTGCAGAGAAGCCTTGCCCACTGTTCCCTTCCCCAGCCTCTGTTATCTGAGAGAGATGGCCACCCTGTGTCCCCTCCTGTGAGGGCAGGGAGGTGAGCTCAGGGAGACAAGAGTTCACACCTCGGATGGGGCGCAGGGGCGGAGGGGCAGGGATGATGGTGGAGAGCTCCCCTGTCTGGGCCACCTTTTTCTCTGAGTTAATCAGCCTCTTCCTCTAAAAATGCACACACTCCTAGACAAGGGTTAACTCTTGTGTCCCTGGAGATTCATTGAGATTTTGACACCAGACCACCCTGCCACGCATTAGAGAGGTGTTCGGAGCCAGAAGGGGTTCCCTGGAGACTGCTGTCCTCCCTCTGTCTGGCTGGGCTCCCCTCACACCACAAAGTCTGCAGGGGGCACAGGCTCTCAAATGGAACCAGAGCTCCAAAGACAAAGCTTTTACTTCATTTTCTACCTTTCCAAAAGGACTTTTTGAGCAAATATGTAAACGTATTTATTCATACATCTTCCCTGTCTTAGAATAAGCTGTAGAATAAAAATTAAAACCAGTCCATGACACAAAATGGATAAAAATTATGTGAGCATATCAATAGATGCAGAAAAAACCTAGCAAAATCCAGCATCCACTTATGATAATAACTTCCAGCAAAGTGGAAATAAAGGGACCACATCTCACCCTGGCCAGTGTGGCTCAGTTGGTTGGAACATCCTCCCGTAAATCGAAAGGTCGCAGATTCAATTCTGGGTCAGGGCACTTGCATGGGCTGCGGGTTTGATCCCGTTAGGGCATGTGCAAGAGGCAACCGATTAATGTTTCTCTCTCACATCAATGTTTTTCTCCCACCCCGTTCCCACCCTCCCCCTCCAAATAAATAAATAACAATTTGAAAAGGTAACATACCTCAACATAATAAAGATCAGGAACAAGAGAGGGATGTCCACTTTTACCACTTTTATTGGAAGTCCTAGCCATAGCAATCAGACAAGGAAAAGAAAGAAAAGGAATCCAGATTGGAAGGGAAGAAGTAAAACATTATTTACAGATGACATGATACTTATATATATGTAGAGAACCCTAAAGAGTCCATAAAAAATTTACTAGAACTGATCAATGAATTAAGTAGCAGGATACCAAATATTCAGAAATCAGCTGCATTTTTATACACCACTGATGAACTGTCAGAAAGAGAAAATAAGAAAACAATTCCATTTACAACTGCATCAAAAAAAAGCTAGGAATCAATTTAACCAAGGAAGTAAAAGACCTGTACTCGGAAAATTCTTAAGATGTTGAAGAAAGATATTGAAGATACAAATAAGTGGAGCATCTACTGTGCTCATGGATAGGAAAAATTAACATTATTAAAATGTACACACTACCCAAAGCAATCTATAGATTCAATGCAATCCATATCAAATACCAATGGTGCTTAAAAAATATATTTATTTAGAGAGAGGAAGGGAGGGAGAGAAACATCGATCAATTGCCTCTCATACACACCCTGACCAGGGACTGAGCCCCAACCTAGGCATGTATCTGGAATAGGAATCAAACTGACAACCCTCCCCTTTGTGGGACAATGTCCAACCAACCGAGCCACACTGGTCAGGGCCCAAAGGCGTTTGTCACACAACTAGAATAATTCAAAACTCAGACCCATAGAATATGGTTAAATTCTCCTAAAGGGGAAATGTAGCCCTGTTCCTGGATCGTCACCCTCCGGAATATTTTTATAGCACACACCATCCTTTATTACTGAAAAGACAATGAAACAACGCTGAAGCATACTCTGAAAAAAGGAAGAAGTCACCTGTACTCCCATCACCCACTACCATCCTTTTTGAAACACTGGTTTTAAAATACCTGGAACTGGCCAGGCCCTGGGAAACTAAGGCACGGAGTGAGGGAAAGTTTAGGCAGCCAAATGGTGGCAGGGCAGGCAGTCCCCTGGCTTCCTGGCCTTACCTCAGTATCTTCCTGTGCGCAGCTGCCAGACTGTGTCCACAATGTGGTCTCTAGAAAAAGGACTAGTAGACAGGGAGGATTCAGAAGGAACACTTGGAAGGCTAGGAAGAAAGGGTAAGGTTTATTTTGTATTTATAAAGGAAACATTAGGAATTACATCTGATTTTAAGTAAGGAATTTCAGACTCAACAAAGGTGATCAAACTGTTCTCCATCTCCACTGGCTAGAACGAGACAAACAGCAAAAGTGATCTGGATCAGAATAGGGTGGAGAATTTCCTTGCCTTTCCTCGAGGCTTGACATTCAGAGGTTAAACTGAACTCTGAACGTTGAGATTCCAAACTATGAGTAGGCAGGTGTTGGGGAAGGGAGTGAGAAGCTCAAAAGGAGATAGGCTGAGCTCTTGGGCAGAAGGCACGGACTCCCCACAGGCCAGCCATCATCCTTCATTGGCAGTATCAACAGCGACACCTGGTGGGGCCAAGTGTAATTGCAATTATGACCATTTTTCTAGAACCTTTCTAGATTGCAGCAGTGAAATCACATCACAGAATGTTAATTATACCATAATTTAGAGTTGCTAGGAATCATCTGTGCTTCTTTGGTTTCCCCATGGAACTATGAATACCTGCAAAAGGAGAACCTCAATCCGTAAGCAGAAATCCCGACTTGAAGTCAAACAAGCCACCTGCCCGATGGCCGGCCCATTTTCATTCACTCAGCAAACATCCATTGGGTACCTTCATATGCCAGGGGCTGGCCTGGCCCCTGGAGGTAGGAAGACAAAAGATAGCCCTCTAGGAGTTCACAGGCAGGAGGGGAGATAGCAAACAGAACAGCGATACAGTGTGATTGCTGCCACCGTGAGAATGTGTCCATGGAGTGGGAGGAACCCTGGGGGAGGGCCGATGCATGGCTTGGGGAGGTCAGGAAGTTTTCACAGGAGACAGAAATTTGGCTGTAAAAATTCCCAGTAAAATTGTTGGTTTAGATTGGAAAATGGTGAGCCTTAGGTGCCTGCAGAATATGAAAAGAGGTGTCTGCCAGGTAGCTGGCTGTAAAGGTTTGGAGGCCGGGGGAGCCGTCTCAGATGGAGATAAGTTTTGGGAGTCATTAGCTTAGGAGGCAGCTGCCCAGGAAGGCAAGAATGGAGTTCACAGGCTAAGCAGAATTAAGTATGTGAGCATCACCAGGAAGATGTGTTCGAGCACATACTCCACTTACCCCAACTTCAAGATTTGGATATATTTCCTAAGTGAACAAGCCAAATCTCTGGGAGGAGGGAAGAGACTGTCTATGCCTTAAAATACACACACACGCACACACGTGCACACACACAAACTATGAAAGCTGTGCCCCGTTCTTAAATGTCTCCTTCCATGTGACTGGACCACCGTTAGCAACATACTTTGGCCTCTATGTACCCTTTTAGTCCCTGCACCAGAGGAAAGGAATGCATGTGATTGGTACATTTGGGAAGAATTATCGGGGCATGCTGGTCAGTTCCTCCCCAATTCTTGAGAGGGGGACTGACCTCAAGAGCACAAGAATTCCTGCCCCTCATACCACCCAGCCCAGGCAGGAGGCCTGCCCCTGGCCCAGCGCAGCTGTCACTCACTCAGTGAGAGTATCAAGAGGGAAAGGTGAGGCTTTTGGCCTCCATCCACTGACAGGTTGTCCTAATTGACAATTTGTTTAAAATCCGAGTAAGAATGGTGCTATTATCAGACCACCTTTATTCTGAGAAGGCCCCTGAGACATACCAGGACCTAAGGACAGGCAGATGTAATTTGACAAGACTCTACCAAATGCATCACCAAGGTGTAGAGTTAAAGAATGGAGGATGGGACCTGAATGCCAACATTTAAGTGGAGGGCAAAAGAAAAAGGGGCTTTGTTTCTAATGGGAAACAAGCAGAGGGAACAAAATCAGAGGACACATGAAGCACACACCATCAGAGGCTCTGGTCTTAGAGGGAAGGATGGTCTTCTTGCTTGTGTATATAGGTAACACTGTAGAGTGGCCCAGAAATGGCTTTGACTCCTCCTGTCCTAGGTTCTAGGACCTGAGGCTTGGCCAAGTTGGCAGTGAGCTTCCAAGGACACACATTTAGTAACTTAATGAAACTTTGGACGTTTATTGTCCTCTGTCCCTTGAGCAGTGATGCTCAGGGTATAATGATGGATTAGCAATACACTGTGACGTCTTCCTGATCTCTTGCAGTAATTAATGTTTAAAATGTGTGGGAACTTTATTATTACAAAACCCAAGAAAAACCTCACGCGGAGCCCCAAGTACTCTCACCACCAATCAGAATGCTGCCTGCCGCGCTGCCACGACCAGCTCGCGGCCTCTCTCAAACAGTAACATTAGAAGAGTTTTCCCTGATGACAGAAACAAGAAATTCACTTTAGAACACCAAATAAAGTATAAAATAAGCAAAAATTGCATATGATTCCACCTTTCTGAGATGAGTATTAATATTTTAGAGCATTTCTCCAGTATTTGCACATATTTTAAAAAAAACAAAATCAAGATTAGTTTTACTTTGTTTTTCCTATTTAACATACTGTGAACAATCCTCAATGGTTATTCTTCAGAAACATTTTTAATGGCTGAATAAGTCACTTACGAATGGTATGTATATTATACATACATTGTTTGACTGGCTATCAATTTCTATTATGAGAAACCTTGTATATAAATCTTTGTGCATCTCTGATGATTTCCCTAAAGCCAATTCCTAAGAGTGGAGTTAAAGAATCAAAGAATCCACTGGCATTCAATACACATACTAGAATGTTAGTTCTCCAGTCCCAGGCACAAAAGCTTATAAGGCTGTAATGAAGGCCAATTATCTTGAGTAGGACTCAAAAGGCAAAACTGAGTATACCAGCAGTGTCCTGAATGAATCAATATAAGAAGTTAAAATCAAATAAAGGGAGTGGCCATAGGACTTAAAAGGCTAAACTAGAGAGAAATGGGAGGGGAAAAAAGCTAGAGTAGGAGGGGGAGAGGAGAACACATTCTATGGAGGAGGGTAGGGAGCTACTGAGGATTTTCCCTACGAGAAACCATGAGGATCTGCACCGTCCTAGAATACCTCTCAGTGGTTTTCTTTCCTGATGTTGGCAGTTACTGTTGTGAGGGCTGAATGGATTATATAGGATTACCAGCACAGTACCTGGCGCAGAAGCTCAAGAAATGAGCTTTCCTTTCTGCTACAACTTAAGGACTCTCACAATAACGATACTTAGGACACAGCCTAGCCAGCCATATACCTCAATAAAACTATTAAATAAAAGGCTGACTTTCAACTACCTATGTTCATACACTGATTACTTTATCAACACACAAAAAATTGATTCTTTAGCTCTGTAATAACACAATTTAAAAGGAATAGCATGGGAAAGGAAAAACACAAATCTATTTTCTCCCCATTTAATTCAGGCCATAACACAACTTCATCAGGTAATCAACAAATTAATTAAAGGTACATCTCATCCGTGTTTCCTGTATTCCCATATGAGCCCTACCCTTACCACTAGACAGAAATGCCCCACGGCACCACACCTCTAACACACAGCAGTTGGCTGCCGACTCAAACGCCTTATTCTTCCGCTCTAGATGGTAAAGAAATCCCCACATGCAGTGCAGAAGAGCCCTTGGCAGCATCCCCTCCATTTTCATGCTGTAAAGTTCATCCAGTAAGACAGAGTTAACCAGGCACAGGTGTCAACAAGACAGAATGAATTTGTTACTCACTTCCTTCACTGCCTTGCCTTTCCCGTTATACTTTATCTCCAGTAATGGTGGTTCAACCCACTAGTGTAAAATTAAAATAACATGAAGCCGATGTATATGATAAAAAAAAGAGCTCTGTATGTTAAATTTAAAAGTATACTGCAAAACAAGATATGCATTTTAATATCATAGATAGATATTTATGTAATCTCTAAAGACACTTGAAAAATATCTGCAAGGATACATATCAAACTGTTAGTGGTAACAGAAAAAAATACGGTTTGAAAAGAATGGCAAGTTTCACCTTTATGTCTGAACTGACTGAATTTGATAAAAAAAATTTTTTTCCCCTGCAGTTCTACTTTTAGAAAGGAAGATGACTTACCAGTAAGCTGTGATCACAATCTACTAATTTTTTTTCTGTTATTTCCACTCTTAGGTTATCATTTTTCTAGACCTAGTAATCAAAAACATCTTCTGGAGGCTTGGGAGGAGCCACAGACGTGCACGCCTCCAGCTTTGGCCTCCTCCCACCACTCTGTTCCCTCCAGTACATCCCCCTAATTATACTCTTTCCTTTGCCAATCTTTTAACCACTCATACCTCGCTTTTTTCTCAGAACTACCAACTGATGCTACTCTGTCGCACTGCTAAAAAAAAAGCAAGTGCCTCAACAAATGAGTGTCAGCCCGGCAGAACAAAGCTCAGCTTCACGCGTTAGCCTGAGTGCAGAGAAGCAAGAAGAGAAAGGTAAACTAAAGCGGAAGGGACAAGCGACGGCACAGACATTTCAGACATTCCACTGTTGGCATAAATCCCACCTATGAGAGTGCTTTTCAAAGCAAATCACACCAAATGTAAGAAAGCCACCACTAACAAGTCAGATGAGTGACTACTTTCAAATGTGATGGGTTTATTTTATTTTGCTCTGATGCTAATAAACCAAAGACTCCACTACAGCACAGAGATCAATATATTAAAAGGTCATGAAAAAGTAGTGCGGGACATGCAGGACGTGATGTACAAACTGGAGGATCGGGTTATTTCCTTTATAACACGACACTACATTGTCGCTGAGGATCACATTTAAAATAATACTGTGGAACTGAACTGAAATGTGGCACAAATATGACAACTTCCAGGCATGCCTTCCAGCACCTCCCTTAGGATGGACTTGCGATCTCTAGACTTCAGTGTGCGGGAGGATTACAATTCTTTGGAAGAATAAAAAGTTCACACTTTTGAAATTTCAGAGAAGAATTTTAAGGCCAAAACATAGTGGGTTCATTTCTCTTCATCTCCAGGGAGAAATCTGATGTTTTACTCAAAACCTCATTAAGCTTCTAGTTCAAATCCCAACCCAACCTTGTGACCTCCTGCATTGAAGTTCTTTCCATCAATTAAAGCTGATAGGGTCAGTTTGACTCCTAGGAAGAAGAAAACACAGTCACTTGTAACAAGTATTATGATCAGCTCTGTATTTTCTAGAAACAATAGATGGAGTCAATGGCATGGATTACAGCTGGGTGTAAGTTACAAGCATATGGCTATTACTAAACTTAATACAGGGTTATCTATAATCATCTGATCTGCAATGAGTAAAACATAATCATGGCAAACTTTATTTGCAGTTCAGGGTTAAGAATAAATGATCAACCAAACTTATAAGCCAGAGTGACGAAGTTATAGTCAGAAATGCAAAAAATGTTTTTAAGCAAAAGTGCCTGAAACTGCCTGAAACAACCAAATGTTACAAAATGGTCTGAATCAGCCAACAGTGATTGTAGGTTGTTTTATAGGTCATTTTCATTATTCTTCTATCATTTTCTGCCCCAACCCTGCTGGTATTAATTCCTTTACTTACCTGGTCGAAGAGTCTGAGTATAACCCAGTCCAATCAGGCTGGCATTATTTACTTTAGCCTAAGATTAGGAGATCAAATAGAAACAGTAAGAAAATAATCAATTTTATAAGTCCAGTACGACCACTTCATGCATCCTATTTTCAAAGCTAAATCTAGAATGCTTGAAACTGAAAATTTAATTAATAAAAAGATAAAAAACCTTTTACGAAGTTAAGAGAACTAGTATGGACCTTGAGAATGTAGGCTTAAAGGCCTCACACAAATATTTTTAAAACACTGTGCAGCCAAATATCTCCGTGTACTAAATTCTTCGAGATACCAGTTTACGACCTCTGACAGTGGTTAGAACATGAGCTCTGGAGAGAGACAGATCTGGCTCAAATCTTGGCACTGCCACTTATTGTGTGACCTTGGGCAAGTTATCTGATCTCTTGAAGCCTCAGTTCCTTCCCTCATCCGTAAAACAGGGATGCGGACACTACTCACCACCTATGGTAGTTGTGAGGATTAAATGAGATAATACATGTAAAGCCCTTAGCACAGTATCTGAAATTTAAGAGCTCAATTAATGTTATTATTAAGAATTACTAATACCTACAGGAATTGTAATCAAATCCCATGAATTTATAGATAATAAAATTTTGAGGCCAAAGAGAAATTGACTGGAGGAGGTCAGACAACAGCCAAATACAGGAGGAGCTAGGACTAGAACCCAACTTCCTGACTTCAGGGGTAATACTCCTTTCACTACACAATGACTAGCTCATTAAAGTTAAAGAACACACAAACTACAACCACACCACAGCTCTCATTCATAACTTAGATGAAAGCCTAAGAGCAGACACAATCTGGTAGCACTTACAGAGAGAGTTGTTCTACAATCCAACTTGTATTTAGCAGCGATGCCAAAGCGGGTGTTGTTACTGCCAGCTGTCCACGCAAGGTTTATTGATGTTTCAATCTTCTCATTAACCTTCTGGTAGATAGACCCTCCAAATTCAGTGCCATCATTCCTGTTTTCATGGTGTAAGAAAAGTCGTAAATATCTAATTTGTACCATGGTTATCGATATGGAAACAAATTCTAAGACTGACTAAACAAGGATCTCATTTTTGCAACTACAGATTTCAGCAAACTTCTGGCATAAATTATTCCCAAACGAAATAAGGAACTAAATCCAGTTATGTAATTTAACCACCTTATCAGAATGTAGTTAACACTTCATTCACTTGGCTTTTCTACATGATATAAACTTCTTAGTCACAAAACTTATGCACAAAGCCAGAGACCTTAGGTGAATATGACCTATAGGTCTCACTGACGTGTTCACAGAATTTATAAACTTCAATAAAGACTCCACAGAAACATATACATAGTGGTACAACTATGGGAGGAAAGCCAATTCTAGATTTCATGTAAAACAGAGCCCTAGAAAGCACCCTCCCGAAAATACCTAGCATGCGCTGCTCCAGAGAAGTACCTAAATTGCTGCAAAGCATCCCAGAGGTTACAGTCCCTGAGTTTTCATAGTTTTTCTGGTGAATACTTTTTCATTGGTTTTAATGAAACCTGTCTATACCACTGTGTGACTTAAGTCAGCCTAGTGAAGAGAAATATGCAACAGTTCAAAAACACATAGCTCATCCTTTGCTTTCTCTTCACAGTATAGTAGCAATGCCCAGAGGCCCAAGACATAAAATTTAGAAGTTCAAATTCATTTCATTTCACCAACAGGGTGCAGCCTACAAAACTGAGCCCGGAATTACTTTGAGGACTTGCTACTTCTGACCAAAGGAACCAAAAACCTCCCAGGAATGCTCTAGCATGCTCAGATCAATTAGGCAGTTGTTTTTTATGCTCCAAACAGTCCTATTTCCAGATACTGCCAAGCTGCACAGGGCCCCAGGGGAAACAGGAATATCTCCAAAGGATCCCTTATATCAGGTGATTCATGTCCTGGGCTCTCTCCATCCCAGTGCTTCTTCTAGAGATTCTAGAACTTCACAGAGTTTGGGGTACAGGCTGAGAAGCAGTAACTACCAGCAGCACTGTGCAATGCACCAAATGCACTAACTTCTGGCAATGTTTTGCTGACTACAAAAACAGTGCAGCGAGGTTGGATGCCCACCAAGGCATTAAATGCAATTGCCATCCCTTCTAACCTTCTCAATATGCTAATGGCTACCAACTTTTGGCGTGAACGCACTGACACTAAAGGAGGAATAAATTATAAACACTCACACATGAGTGTGCAGCTGGAAGTCCGCAGCTTTGTAACCCAGGGCGAAATTATTCTGTGACAGTTTGGATTTCGCTGTGTCAAAACTCATCTGATAGCCAGCAAGCCAACCTTCAAAGGCTAACACAGCCCAGCCATAGATGGTCGGGCCAGAAAAATCTATATCAACATTACTGCCAAGACTGAAACAATCCCGTTTATAGGAGGCCTTCAATTTCCCACTCTTCTTTCTGTGAAAAACAAATACAACACAATGTAAACAACAAGAGTTTCTACTACTATCCAGGAATCTTTACCATAAGATCCCCTTTCCCCCAGAGGTATATGGCAAAAATACAGGAAACATGTTTCAAATGACTTAGTATTAGAAATATATGTACTGTTTTTACCTATTCCTCACTGTAAGGTCAAATAATAGGGTATTTCATGATGTTTTGAAAGTATGAACAAAGGTGTAAAAAGGAATAAGGTATTTCAGTACCAAATTAATAATGTGAATACACATGTATTATAAGCCAAATTTCTTTAAATATTTCCAAAAGCTACAAAAAGCAACAACACCCGACCAACTTCACTTTTAACTTACTAACCTACCATGGAGAGAAGTGTTCTTTTTTTTTCTTAAAGGATACAGCTCTATGGTAAGTCTATTTATTTTCCTTAGGGTGAGTGTTTTCTCCATGTTGGATAGATGGAAGAAACTGTGCAGTTTTGAAGGGCAATACTGAAATTCGTTCTTAATAATCCTGTTCTGTTCCAATCAGGCCTCTTATGAGAGAATATGTGTCCTGAACATAACTGAAGTGTATGGCAGGAAGGATATGCCTGTTGTTACAATTAAGAAATGCTGCTCTGCCTTTATCCAGCACCTCTGACATCCTGAGAGCCACGGCCCATGATAGGCAGATAAGAAAAAACACAGTCCCTGTTTTTCAGATGAAGAAACTGAAGCAGAAATGTTGGGAGGAGTTATACAGGCTAAGAAAGCAAGTCAATAGCAGAACTAGTTGTTAATATGTTCTACAGCCAGGAGATTACATTGTTTTCTTAAGAAATTCTGAGCAAAATACCACATCAATGATATGGTATAGCTTAAGAAATAATCTAATCTCAAACCCTTCAAGTTCCTAAACTTTTTCTACTATGTGCCTCTTTGGACTAGATTTATGTTTTTGTTGATCTGATCAATTTTCAAATAAAAATTGTGCCTGCCTCAAGGGAGTCTTCCTTTCTCTTCACTGCATACACAAGGTCTCTCATACTCTTGACAGCAACCTCCTAAGCCCTTCTGCATCAAAACTTTTTATTTTAATGCCCTATTCTAAACCTCTCTACCCCTACAGGCTAAACACATTTCAGAAAACGGGGTTTGGATAATTACCCTGTGTTCGGTACAAATATCGTATCAAGAGTAAGTTTCAACCCTTCGGCCAACTGAAAAATAAAGATTTAAAATTAATAATTAATAACTTTCTATTCTTATTTTGACTCAATAAACCAATTCTAATGTTTTCCCAAACTTCCTAACAAAAAAAAGGAAGTCCATTAAAGAAAGGCCAATATTGTATTTCATAAATTACCTCTTCACTCTTCCCTGTCCCTTTATCCCTCTCCCCTCACCCCAGGCTTCATCATGATTCTCTCGCCAAAAAAACAGGTTAAACTGTAAAGGTCAAATTCTCTTCCAGCAAGTAACGTAAATCACAGTACAAAAACAACAAGATCCCAACACAACAATATTGAATTATCTTAAAATTTGTTAATAACACAACCTGATATTTAATAAGCTAACAAGTAATTTACTCAGTTACCCATTTATATTACCTTATATATGGTAATGTGCATATAGACAGACCTCGAAAAATAGTGCCCTGTACATAGTAGACAAATATCTGATAGGTTTTCTCTTTGAAAATATAAAATTTTAGAAACATTTTTCTGTGGAGCCAATTTCACAATGTTTACAAAACAAAATTAAAACTAAATCACTGCAAATAGTTTAGTCTACCCAGAAGAGGCTCAGGCGTATTCGGTTGACCAAAAAGCGCATTTAGTGTTTTCTGTAAATGACATATTTTTCATTTTCACCAATAACTTTATTGATTTGGATATTCTGAGTATGTCGGCTGTCTCCTGCTATTGGCTTCTGGTGGGTAGAGGCCAGGGGTGTTGCTAAACATCTTCCAATGCATAAGACAGTCCCACAGCAAAGAATTATTTGGCCAAAATGTCAATAGCACCAAGAAACTTGGCAAACCACTTCTGACACATTCGATCAGTCACAGCATCTTCTCCAGACACTGCACAGTTTTTTGCATTTCAGGTGTTTTTACCTTTCTTGAAATAATAAAGCATAATATGCTGAAAATGTTGCATATCTTCTTCCATCTTCAATATTAAAATGGCTGCACAAATTTCACCAACTTTGATAAGTTTTTTTTAAAAGCAGACTGATATGACAGCTGTCACAATACAATCTAACAAAATTGTTTTAAATGAAGTTAAAGACAACTAAGCACTACTTGAGCTATTATATGGAAAAACATAAACAAACTTTTTGGCCAACCCAATATAACAGAATAAACAGAACAGTTCAGAATAAAGATGAAGAGTAATAATTACATAGTCACAAACAAGGCCTTACTTCCTAGAAACATAAGACACGCCAAAGAAGGCCATGTACAAAGGAAAAATATTGCTACTGGATAAATTTTAAGATCTCACTCAGCTTATATTTGGGGTTTGTTCATCCTCTTATCCGCAAGATAAATTTGACATACAAATAACGTCAAATACTTTCTTTTACCTTATTCTCCCAAGAGATTTCTGTTCCAAGAGTATTGTCTGTGTTCCATTTTTGGGTGAAGGTAAGTCCATAATTACAGACCTTATATTTGGTCTCTAGGTTGCCTGAAGCTTTCCCTGTATCAGTATAAGCATGACCAGAAGTAGAAAATTCCTAAGCAATAAAAAAAAAATTACTTTAAAGAGAGCTCATCAAATAGAAAAAGATCATTTCAGAGAGCAGTGTTCAATGCATTGCACACCAGTACAATTAACTTCTTACTGCAGCCCTACTCTATGGCACCTTAGCACCTGCTTGCTTTCTTTCTTTCTAATCTCTAAATATTTTAACCAGTTTTAGATCTATTACTTCACCTAATTGATAATTTTTGTTTAACATACTCTCTTACTTAATGGAAATCTTCAATTTTCTCCTAAAATTTTTATTTATTTATTTATTTTTAGACAGAGGGGGAGGGAGAAAGAGGGGGAGACACATCGATGTGTGGCTGCACCCCTTATTGGGAACACGGCCTGCAACCCAGGCATGTGCCCTGACTGGGAATCTGACTGGGGACCCTTTGGTTTGCAGGCCAGCACACAATCCACTGAGCCACACCAGCCAGCACTGAATTTTCTCCTTTAGAAGAGAAATAACTGAAACTGCCTTTACTTAAAAAAAGAAAAAAAAAAAGAGAGAGAACCTTAAACATTTTATTTTCATGGCCTGAAAAAGATTATCAGTTCTCTATCATCATTTAAACCATCAGTTAATTTTAAAGTCCTTAAAATTCCCAAATCAGTGGAAGCACTAACCTCCTTCTCCCTTTTTAATAAGGCCAGAACTCTATCACTTTTTAAAATTTTATGTTTATTGTTATAAAATACACAATATAAAATGTACAATTTTAACCATTTTTAAATATACAGTTCAGTGGCATTTAATACATTCACATTGTTAGGAAACCTTTATTATTTGTGTCCACAAAACTATCTATAAAATTTTAAGCATAAACAATTTTATTATTTGAAAGTATCTATTCATTTTTTATAACAAAATGCAATGTCATAATTCATCCTTCTTTCTCCCTTCTCTATCTTTTTAAAGTGCTTTCTATCAAAGAGTTACTATGAGTACCTTAAAATAGCTCCTCCTCCCGACTTAGATGTCATTTCAGTCATATGACAATAAGCAATTAGAAAAAGATATCCTTCTAGGGGGAAGCAAACAGTCAACACCTGTTACTGACAATCTATGAACTGTCAAGAAAAAAAACCATTCTGATGGGCCTTGTTTTTAAAGAACATTTCTGAAATGCTGCCAGGCCTGACCAGTTATATTTCATTGCCTGCAATATGAATCCTCCCTTCACCAAATACTCTGCTCCCTAACTCTGGTTCTAGGCTGATGAAACAACTGGAAAACTCTGATCTGTTTATCAATGCTACACAGACAGTTTTCAAAGAAAATATCATGCTGCACATTTATGGCAAGGCCTTAGTGAAAAAAAAAACAACAAACGATAAAAAGCTAACCATATTTAACAGTTCACACAATTATTTAATTTGACCAGCACATTCTTTTAGTAGATCCAACTACCCAGTATTTTATTTTTTACATTAACCTTTCATAAACTTGAAAGTGTAGCAAATATAAACCTTAATTTTACTGCTCAAAGTCAAGGTAAAAGAGTAGTCAGTCTACTTTTCTTCCTTGTTATCATTATTTCTTAGTTTGAATCTGTCAAAAGTCTAAAATACCAGAGATATGAATCTCAAAGAGAAGGCTACTATTTTTCTAACTTCAGTTCCAAGCTTATAATTGCTTTTGTTTAACTTCACAATTAGATCAAACAGTGCAAAATACATTTATAACATGCACATAACATCTACAGCTCTACATTAAAGGCTAGAAAGCAACAAGACAATCTTTAACATGTTATTGTTAAATAGAGGACATATGATAAAAATATCAAGATGCAACCTAAGAAATTTGGAGCAATGGATGTAATTTATCACAAATCAGTACCAGAGACCAAAAGCAGCCATAAAAACAAGCACACAAATGCGCTTTGTTTTTCTTACCATCTGAATGAATATTCCCACACCACAGCAGCATGAAAGGGAGATAAAATTTTAGTTGATGGTTTTTGCAACACAAACCTGACTTGAGCAAATTCTGAAACCCTACCCAAAATGAGTATAATATTTCCATTTTAACAGAACCACATACGATATGCCCATCCCAGCAGGATAGCTGCATATATATTTATTCACCACTAGAAAACCCAAGGGAAAGAATGACAGTGACAAAGCATGATTATACAGAGTATGAGATAAAGTATCGTAACAATTCCATGCACCTCCTGCCCTTCCAATTAAATCATCATATCTAGAAATATAATTTACATTGATTTGAATAGGTAATACCAAAAAAGATGCAGCCAATAAGGAGAAATCAGAAAATGAGGTAAATGTATAGTCAATTTAGTTGCTGAGACTTACTGAATAAAAGCTCTGGTTAATGTACATGCTTTGAAAATGTATGTACATGTATCTCTGACTATATTCTTAACTTCCAGTAAAAAAGACTTTATGAACATCAATAAAAACTGTAAACTAATTTCTATGTGCATTTTATTTTTACATTTCCTTCAATTAATCATGAAGAGACAGACTAAAATTAATTTGTCCTTGTGAAAGGGTGATAAAACTTCCATGAACCCACTATGACGATGGTCAAGTTTTCAGTGCCCGTATTTGTGAAGGTATAACGACATGGCACACACTGTATCTCCTAAGAGTAAGACCTAGGTGGCTGAGTGGGGATTCTCACTGAAATCTGAGAGTGGAACAAAGCTGTCTGGAAGACGGAACAGAGCCAAAAGTATGCTGCTTCACATATCTAGTCTAAACATTGATTTGTAAACAGGCTCCTTTCAGTTAATCCGGCTACATCTACAGAAAATATATTAGGTACTTACCACTCCACTACATGACTTGGTTCTCAGGTCTATTTTGACCATGCCAAACCCTAGACACACACACAAAAAAACACAGTAACTTACAAAATGTGACATTCACTCCAATTTTTGCAACTTAGAAATTATGAAAATAGTCCATAGTACCTTCCATATGGAAAAGACAATATTCTTCTTAGGTGAGAGTTTCAAGAGAAATTGAATTATGAAATAACTTACGCATACATTTTTAACCCCCTCAAACTAGTACACATATTTTAAAACTATAATTTAAAGAACAAATGAATTAAGGAGTATGTACTATTCTGAGAACCAGATTTATTAGAAAATACTATGCAGATACATACGCAAGCTTAAAACATACACAACTAACACTCCTAGTTAATAAAAAATCAAATGTGTACAACAAAAAATTAAGTTTAAAGACTAAACTTTAAAAACTAAAATGTCCATTTGGATAAAAAAATATGTCACTCCAAAGTGGTCAAAAGTTTTGTCTTCACTCTTCACAAAAACACTGCCATTAATTGAAGAAGTAAAAATGCATGCCCTACTTTAAATGTCACCAGGGCTAGCCAGAGAGGTATACATATTTCAGATTTATACTATTTGGTCTTACAGATAATATTGGCTATGCATATTTGTGTGTGTACACACACACTCACACACAATTGTTTTTAAAGCCTGTGGGACTCTACCTCTAAGAAATGAAGTCTAATAACCTGTTAATAGTTAACCCTTTAAATCTTGTGAGACACATTAATGTTGACTTAACCTCATTTTACCAGCACAGTATAATAGGCATTCAGTATTAACCCTTACCCAAAATTGAACATTTACAGTACCACACTTACCATATCCTTTGTTGAAGACATCCTTGGCAGCCTTTCCTAGGTCACAGTAAGTTGGTGTGTTACACATATCTTATAAAGAAAATGGGGACAATGGAATAAAAATAACCATTTAGTATTTATTCACCCTAAGTCCTTCTACTATTTAGTGCTGAGAAAGGGTATATGGTTTTCTCTTCCTTTGCATCATTAATGCTTATCCCCTAATGCGAGCAAACCTGAGCAGACATCCTGCTCCTTTAAAAGGAGCTTCCCTAAAGGCTGGAGAATAAAAGGGGTTTTCCCAGGAAAGTCCAGAGGTCTTCTTCGTGATTACATTTCAAAGAAAAGGAATTTCCCACAGGCTGAAGGAAAAAATGTGTTAACTTTTTTTGCTTTTAAAAAAGGAAAACTTACATTAGAAAAACATTTCTTGGACTGTTATAAAGCTGAAGAGCTGTATTAGGGGACAAAGTAAATTTGTTAAGGAACTGTAAGCTTAAACAGATGCATTAAAAATCTTCAAGGTTAACGTTTTTACCACTCTGAAATTCAGCTCTTAAAATAAGAATTACCATACCAATTGCAATGTATTCACTCATCCAGGATGTCCTCCCTTAAAGCTGTTCTTAAAATAAAGTGCTATAATCTTACCCATTAACCAAAAATAGGATAAATTCTACCTGCAGTAATCTGCTTCCTAAGATGCCTTGACTCTTCATCTTGCCTACTTATATTCAGCGTTTGTACTGCCAATACGACTTGCACAGGGAAATTCTCCGCTCTGTTAACACCGCTGAACAGACCACTCCTTTGCCCTCGCTGGGTAACGGGCAATCTTTTCCTGCAGCCTTTTCAAAAGCCCTGTGTAACTAATTGTAAAACCACCTGTGGCCACCCCAGCAGCCCCAATCGCCACACCAGAAAATTCCAGAGCACCATCTAGCCCTCGCAATTACTACGCCTGACCTACCTACACATTCAAACTAATATTTACGTATATTTAGCCTGGGTCTTAATCTGGCCTTCTGCGAAGTTTCTGCCTGTGCCATCACACCTAAACATTACATACACGAATGAAGCATTGAATTATGAATTCATTACAAATTTGTTCCTTAACCTAAACCCATCAAATGTGGCATTGTATGTTCAGGGAACAGTGTGTCACACACACACACACCGGTGGGAGGAAAGAGTACAGAAAAGATGAAAAGGGTCAGGAAAAAATGCATTGACTCATACCATAATAAAACTTGATTATAAGGCACAAGGTTTCAGGGTTCACTTCTAGAGCAATTATTTTTACAATTCGGTACCTTGTATTCAAATGATCAATTCTACAAAATTTACAGGTTGCCAATTGCAATCTGATATTATTTTTTATAATCACAACGGATGCAGGTAATCTGTTGAAATTTTACCAGACGACTATAATTTGGGAAGTTTAGTACGGAAAAGCGGGCACTATACATTCAAATGGAAATGTTAAGGCTTTACAGTCTGGTTTTTCATCTACTGACAAAACAACAAGTGCACTTAAACGTTTAGAAACAGCCACCTAGGGACTCATCACAATCTTTCAGCATTTTGCGTCTTTTTCAAAACCGCTGCCAAAACACTTTGCAAAAGCCGTGCGGCTGGTTTAGTTTACTAACTGATCTCCATTCTGCTTGGTTCAAGCTTACTTTTTCAGGTCCACGATTCTGATGGGACATGCACGACTGGTATGATCAAGCAAAAACTCGAGAAGACAGAGTCTGCACGTTACTCAAGAGTAAAGCTATCATCACGTATTTCTATTAGCTCTACAAAATGCACTTGTTACTTGAGGCATGAACAACATACCAAGGTTACATTAGATGCAAGCGGGGGAAGGGAGAGCGTTGACTAACACCGCTTCGCTCAATAACCACAGTCAAGAACCCCGCTTGTTCCTCATTTCTCCTATTTAAGTTGCACGTACAGCATCCTCCCTTTGGAGGTGAGTGGAAAGGCCCCCTCATGCTGAACAACAATTTCAGAGAGGAAGCTGGGTACGGGGAGTGGGTTTGGGGTTCGAGAATCCAGCTTCCCCAGAAACCAACCTCCTCCCTGGCCGGACGCCTGGAAACAAAGTCCCGTGGCCACACCAGGCAGAGGGAAGGTCGCGGCTCGGCGCTCGCTGCGCCGCCTGCCCCCTCCGGCGCAGCGGCTCCATCACCTGAGGCGGCCAGGGGAAGCAAGGTCCCTTTTGCCGTCCGCGGCCCGGCCCGGTCAGCCGCGCCCCGTTAGGCTGCTCTCTCCCTCCCGACCCCTCCGTTGGGCCCGCCTCCCGTCAGGCCCCCGTCTCGGTGGCACCCACTGCCCCATCACCTCCCGCCAGGCCCGCGGACTCGGCTCTCCTCACCTGCACCCAGAGAGCAGGTACTCCGCTAGGGCAACGCTGAAGGTCTTCTTCAACCAACGCCGTCCGCGCCTGCGCGGCCTTACTCCCCCTGCGGCGCCTGCGCGCCCCTGCCTCCCTCCGCACCGCGTAAGCGCCGTGGTGTCACACCGGGGTCGCGCGCCTCAGAGTTGCGTGAGGAGAGGGACAGCTGGGGCGAACCAACACCGCCAACTGTCTGGCTCGGCGTACGCGCGTGCGCGGCAGAGCCCGGCACGCAGGTGCCCAGGGCAGAGATTGACGCCAGGCCAGGCGGAGGAAGCCTGGGGGAATCAGCTTTGTCCTTGAAGGGGCTCGCTCTCGCGAGAACGCGAGAAGTTACTAGTTACTGTTGTCAAGGAAGGGGCCGCAGGGAAGGCGGGTGGAGGGGGCGTGGTACTCTATGCAGGTAGTTGCTACGCCCTGACCGGCCAGACCCAGGCCATTTCATTCTCTGACGGATGCTTGCAGAGCTTTTCGGGAAAGTAAACGACGGACTGAAATTCAAGAATGTGACCCATAGGTCATCTCACCCTAAGGATAAGAAAATATGGGCCCCGAAGGGTGTAAGTGACGTCATGTATTCAAGACACTGGCAGCCTTAGGTAGATTATAATTCAAAGGAGTGAGGTGGAAGGGAATCTCTTTTTTAGAGAAGAGGACCTGCTAATAAATGTAGAAGAGATTGTAGAAATATTGTAGAAAATTAGCACTCTGGAACCACCAATAATTGACTCAGACAAAAATTATCGGTGGGTGCAGAATGGTTGAGGATATTTGTGCTGTTTTAAAGTATCACCATCAGATTACTTACTAAAGAGAAAAGAGTACCTGCACATCAAAGAAATCAGACTGACATCATGCACTCCCTGATGTGATGCACCGAGGACACAGGATAATTATTTTTGCCAAAAGAGTGTAATTTGTCTCCATTCATGAGGAAACAAACTCAAATTGAGGGACATTCTGCAAAACAACTGCCCAGTCTCTTTAAAAATGTAAATTTAATAAAAGAAAGAAAAAGACTAGTGAACTGTTCTAGATTAAAGAAGATGAAAAATATGATCCTAAAAGCAATGTGATCCCAAATTGTACCCTGGATCAAAAAAAAACAAAAACCAAACACCACAACAACCCCTCTCCGCCCCCCCAGCTATTGAGAAACATTATTGGGACAATTGGGAAAATTTGAATGTAGAGTATAATAGAACAATGTAAAACTTTCTGAGAGCAATAATTGTATCTTGGTTATGCACCTGGGCATTGATTTTAGGAGTTACATGCTAAAGTATTTAGGAGTGAAATAGCATGTGTCTGCAGCTGACTCAAAAGGTCAAGAAAAAGAAAAAGTGCACACAATGTTAACAATTGGTGAATCTAGGTAGAAGGTATGTGGATGATCATTACAGTATTCTTGAAATTTTCCTCTAAGTTTAAAATTTTCAAAATAAAAGTTGAGGAGAACCCACACACAATCTGTGATGTTCAGTCCGCAGACCAAGTTGCTGCTTGAACCAAAAGCAAATAGCACTATTTGCCTGCTGCATGCATGGAATTTCAGGCTAATAAGAGAGAAGTAAGGTAAATGCTCCCAAAAGACTCGTAATGCAGAACTTGGACAAATGCTTACCAATTGAAGCAGAAGATGATGAATGTCATAGGCAAAGCCATGTGACTTTGTAGGCTAAATAAAATGAGCTTTGGAGTCAAAAGAGGCTGGGTTTGCATCTCAGATCCGCCAACTCCGTGGTCTTGACAAGCAACTTAACCTCTCCATGCCTCAGTTTCTACATCTGTGAAACAACTAAGTAAGATATACTTTAGAGTATTGTAGTGGGTATTAAATGAAATAATGTATTCATAGCACATAACAATCTACCTGGCATATGGAAAATGTTCACTAGTTACTAACACAGATGAAAATTAACGTTCAATAAGTTTAAAAGTTATGCAAACAAAACTTATACTTATTCACATATATGAATATTAGAACCACAACTGCAGCCTGTATTTAGGCACAGACCTGGCTTTTGGCTGTACAGCAGGCCAGTTAAGGCTGTAAGGAGCACTTTGGGAATCTGGCAACATTCCTTCCTTTGGCTTCTGCCATCTAAAGGTGGCTTCTGTTATTCAAAGATCTTCTTTCTGAAACGATCTGACACCACCTGTCCCAGGTCATGCAGAGAAACTTCCTTTCCTCCCCTACACCTGATGCAGGAAGGTGATGAAAGAAACTGCTAAGGAAAACAGCAGCTGCAGAGAGAATCCTTCCTTTGCTTCCTGTCCTTCTGGCCTTGTCCGCTTAACTAGATCAGGTTAATGCTCAATGTCCATATCAGGTCTCTGGCCTTGGCCACTTCCAAACTATAGCCAGTTCTCATTTCCCTGCCTCCACTGGGATCTAAAATCCTGGGAAGTGTAGAAAGTATTGTACATTCTCAGTCCAAATCCTAATAACATGGCATCCTTCTCCGATAAAAATCTCTAGAATCAGGATTTTAGAGCAGGGGAGGGACTTTAGATTCCTTCATTTGTGAAACATTTGCTAAGTGCTTACTATGTACAGGGCACCATGCTCAGAGGTAACATATGAGGAAACACCCCAATATGTCAGTGCTCTGTGGGTCCAGAGGCCCATGAACATGGTGTCACCTAGTAAGCAAGTTCCCAGTACAAGTCACCTACTCTAGTCGAGATAACCTGTTGATCTGCTTACGTTGCCTTTTTGAGAGAAAAAATCTCAGAAGGTTAGTACACTTTTACCCTCAAATGAAAAAGCAATTAAGAACAGAAGTCCCACTGTGAAGAATTGGTAGCTCAATTACCCTAGGTGTAAGAAAAATTAAGATTCCGAAGTCATCGGTGTTAATTCCCTATTTCTTTCAAGGAAAAGGGCCCACTTGCTTGTTTTCAAGAACTCCAAAATTCTGAGGGGTGAGAAACCACTAGATATCTTTGAATAAGAGGACATACAAACCAAGTGCCTGCGCTTCTTCAAGGAGGCATCAGAGCACAGGGATCCTGCTGTAAAAGCACATAACTATGCATAGAGAGGAGACTGAAGGCTCGTCTGAAAAGTGTTGTCAGAATGACCCAGGTGGACAGCAGGGGAATGGCTTCCAGTGTAGAGGGACAGAGTGATCACAGACTTAACACATCATACTCTGACATTCCATGCCTAAGACCACACCTCAAAGAAATAATCATAGATTTGTGCAAAGATTCATCTTCAAAAGCTTGAATGATTTAGAGTAGCAAAAAATTTAAAACAAGCAACATGACCAGCATTCAGAGGATTCATTTAAAAAATTCGAATGCTCCCATATTCTGGGTTATGGTACAACCAGGTGTCCTGATAATATTTGATTATCTGGGGGAAAGGCTCAGTGGGAAAAACAAGGAAGAAACATAAATATAAGTACAGTGTAATCCTCTGTGTGTGTGTGTGTGTGTGTGTGTGTGTGTGAATTTTACTTTAAGAAGAAGCGAGGAAATTATAACCATAAACGTCATGGTTTACCTCTGATGGGGCGGCAGAGGGATTGGGCAGAGGAGGTGCACATGGAAAGATGTAGGCATTAGTAATGGCTAGTTTGGGAGCTGGTGATAGACTAATTATATTGTATTGTGCATTTTTAAAAATTCTATATGTATGTGTATAGGTACGTGCATGAAAAACTCAGGAATACCTCACAAAATTTGACTACCTCTTCCAGGTCAGAGTATTTATTGTGTTTATTTCCTTCACACTTTTCTGTATTTTTCAATTCTAAAATTTTGAAACATGTATTTATCTTATAATTAGGAAAATTAAGCTCACTCTTATGAGGTTTGGGAGTACATAGATTTATGAGTAGGGGAGGGCTGATCCATGGGGGGTTTCCAGCATAAAATGGGAAATGCCTTTGGAATCTGTTGGTAGTACCTGTAATTCACCATGGGCCTTCTGAGTACTCAATTCTTGACCACAAGGGGGCGTAAGGAAACAAGATGAAAGAAAAGCTAAACCTGAAAGTGGACCCGGGGACTTCGGATTCTGACTTGGGGCCATAACCCCTGGTCTCCCCTTGTTCACAAGGTTGAAACACAATTGTGAACCCTGTAAGACTGGACGGTGAGTCTGTGAGCTTCCCTACCAAAGCCATAGTTTACGTTGACTGTCAAAAGGGCATGAGATATCTACAAGTTATTTTAATGGGGAAACCAATTTTGTCAGTGTACCACACGAATATTAGGGTGCATATGGCTGACAGAACCTGCAAATATTTCATCTTCATCACTTGCTAGTGAAGCTCTTTAATAATATTTACATAAAGGATAATTTAAGAAAAAAGCTGAGTTATTCCTACAGTTGTATGTAAATTCAAAAATAGCAACAGTGCTCCCTGTGATTTTATTTCTTAGTGAATATAAAGCTATGTTTCAAGAAACTTCATGTTTTGGAATGGATTTTGGTTAATGAGCTGAATGATGTGGTATATAGAGGAAAGAAATAAACTTTGGAATGAGAAAGTTTATGTTCAAATCCTAGGTCTGCAGTCCTAGGTAAGCTGTGTGACCTTGGGCAAATTATTTGAACTCTGAGTCTCAGTGTCTTCATTTTTAAAATGAAGATCCCCAGAAGTAAACTCCTGGTCATATGGGGCAGAGGGCTCCAGCCACACAGAACTTTCTTTGGTCAAAGTTCTGAGAACACTTGGACCACACCCAGCATATACCCAGAGTGGTAGCCTGGGTCAGGGAAGGCCAGCCACATCCAGAGAGTGAGTTGCACGGAGTAGCCAGAGGAAGACCTGACCTGAAGAGAAGTGGAGAGGCTGTGGAAGCTCTAAGGGGGAGAGATACTAGAACAAGGTGTCCTGCTCCCACCCCACTCCCCACAGAATACTGCAAGGAAATTCAAGGCAAGCAGCCTTTCCCCACAGAATGGGATTCCAGAGCTCATGAGTGCAGAGCTCATGGGTAGCTATTCTTTTTTTCACCCCAGCCTTATTGACATATAATTGACATAAAACATTATGTAAGTTTAAGGTGTACACTGTGAAGATTTGATACCCCTGTGTATCATAAAGTGTTTACCACAATAAGGTTAGTTATCACATCTCTTACCTTATATAATTACGACTTTGTTGTTACAGTGAGAACATGAAAGCTCAACTCTCAGAACAACTTTCAAGTACACGGTACTCTGTTGCTAACTGTAGTCACCATAGTCATTCATTTGGCTTCTTCAGACCCGGGACTCCAGGCG